AGCACTGACCTGCCTGGGAAGCAGCGCGGTCAACCTCTGCTTCCTCAGCAGGGATCACCAGGATGTTGGCTGGGACTATGAAGACATCTTCATGTGGCTGAAATGAGAAACATTCCTTGTTTGTTTTTTTGCTGGGCGGTCCCTCTCAAGCCGCAGGAGCTCGCTCACAGGTGAGCATAGCTTCAATTCCCAACAAACCTCTGCTTTTTCTCCCTGCTCCTCCCTTTCCTCCTCCAAGCCCTCAAGCAGGGCCACCGCCACGAGCTGTCGCAGCCCTGCCCCACATGGTCACACAGGGCTGGCTCTGCACCAGGCACTGCTCAACACTTGGACTGACCTCCTTCTGGAGCTCTGCCTCCCATCGGGTCACAGGGAGCTTGTCTGCCTCTGCTGAGGATGTCTCCTTGGGCACCTGCAAATCCAAGCACTCCTCAGCGTTTTCCTTCAAGACCTCAAGCTGGTCCTGTGCTATCACTTCTAACAGCTGAGAGAGGGACGGCTCTGGAGCAAGAACACATCTATGTTAGTGGAGAAGATGCCTCAGCTCAGGCAAATGCTTTTACTTTTTGTTGCGTGACAGAAACTTGTGGAAAGATGCAAAACTGCATTTCCTCTGCAACCAGAAACTCTTTTTCCTTTCTTTCCCCAGCCACACAGGTCTTCATGACCCTTACCTGAGCTAGGAGTGGTCCCCATAGAGAGATTCCTCCTGCAACGACCAAGCAGAAAGCCAGTGTGAGAGCTGGGTGGGCTCCAGTGTCAGCGGGATCACACCCATGGAAGTGACCTGCTTTGCACTCTCTGCTCAGCTCTGTCGCATCCCAGGGCAGAGAGTCCCACAGATTCACAAGGATCTACCTTCAAACACGTACCAGCCCCTGCCAGCTCACGTGAAAAACATTCAGTGCCTGCACCCTGGCACCGTGGTGCCTGCATGTATTCCCTGGCAATCACCAGCCCCATACTTACATCCAGAGCTCCTTTATCTTCTGTAGCACAGAGGGCTCCTGGTTCCTAGAACAACAGAGAAGTCAGTTACTGATGGGGCGTTCCCTCCCATGCACACATTCCTTCAGAGTCTGTGACACAAATCTCTCTCATGCAGTGAGTACAATGATCTCTAACACAACCAGGTCACAGCAGCACGTCTCTTAGCTCATTACTGGCAGTGCATGCTGCTGTGCCAAGGGCTCCTGGCTTCAGTGCTACGTGGCAAACGCTGTCTTCTCAGCTCCAGGGCAACGCTCAAGCCCCACAGACCAGCAGCCCCAGCCTGCAGCCTGGCACATACACATTTGATGAATCCATCCTCTGCCTCTCCATGGGCAGCACAACGAAGCGCTGGGCGGTGAGATAAAACTCGCAGTCTTCCTGTTGGGGCAAACAGAGTCCATGTGGGATGGGCAAGCAGTCACAGCTCTGCTCCCTCCCACTTAAGGACTGGTGAGCACCTCTCCAGCCCAGCTAACAACCTCAACAAGGAGCAGCCTGAACTCCCCTGCAGAGGGTTTTGCACCTTCTGCATCAGCTGTTAGCTTTTGCAGCAGCCTCTTCATGGGCTATAAGCAAGGCTGAGCCAGCCTGAGGCCATGGGGAAGTGCCTGAATCTGAGCAAGGGGAGGGCAGGGAGCTCTCTGCCACGGGCTGAGGTCCATGCAGGCCTCCTGCAGGCACAGAGCTGGCAGCTCCAGAACAGCAAGAGGAAGCAGTCGGGTGGCTGAGGCCGCTGCAGACCCTAGGGGAGATGCACCACGTCCCCAGGGAGGGCTCAGGCCATCAAGTCTTCTTCACTGTCACCACACAGCTTGCCAGGACCTGAGCACTGAAGGGCCACGGAGAAGAAAGGCCGGCCTCCACCCACCCCCAGCTCCATCATGCAGCTCTGGGAGCAGCTCAAAGCACGCAGAGAGCAAGGCAAGGTTAGGGAACAAATTTCTTCCATGCATCAAAGCACTTACCAGCTTGGCCTCCTCCCGGAAACACAATGTGTACTTCTGCAAGGTGATCAGTCTACAGATAAGGCTGGAAAGCATAAACTGCATGTGGGCACTAGAAAAAGAACAGAGCAGGACCATCTGGGAGGGACGAAGAATGAAGTCAGACCGCCCACACCAACCATGGGGCTCCCCTTACAGCTACACGACACAGGGGCACAACGGAACACTTCTCAGCATGAGCATCAGGGACTGAGCTGCTGAGAGCTGCTTTATATCCTCCCTCCGATACCAGCAATTGCTCCAGCTGGAAAACAGAGGGCTCACATCCAAATGGGGAAGCCAAGACAGGCTGCTAGCACTGACAGAGCCCAAGGAACCACAGTTAAGGTGTTTCCATCAACCCCTGCACATCCCAGCTAGCCACAACTGCAGCACCAATGCCTGTGTTCCAGCCTAGCAGCAGCACCTCCTTCACACCGACTTCCCACCCTGTTATTGATTTAGCTTAACACAACCTGAAACAAGGCCAGGCGGGAGCCCCACTAGCAGCTTTGCAGAGCTGCAGTCCCAGCCACGGCCGAGCCACGATGGAACCCACTTTTCTTCTGCCTGCAGAGCTTCTGCTGTAATGATCACTCGGATGTAGTGGGAGCCGTCTGAGACTTGCAAGACAGCATCCTGCTGCACTTCACCTTGGCCAGGAGCACTTGAGCCACTCAAAACCTACAGAGCAGGGAATGAAAAAACCAGAATGAACATCACCCAGAGAACAGACAGCGATCGAAGGCATCAGAGCACAGCTGGGGAGCCCTCAGGATCCGCTCAGTCACCATCACAGCCTGAAGGGATCTCCCAGCAGGGAGCGGGGCCACAAAGCGGCCCAGCAGCCAACGTTTGGCAGCCTGCTCGTGTAAGGAGGCATCCCTCCAACATAATGTGCATAATGCAGCTCTGGGCAGCCTGGTCTGATGGTCGGCGACCCTGCACACAACAGGGGGGTCGAAACGAAATGATCATTGTGGTCCTTTTTCAATCCAGGCCATTCTGTGACTATCACAACCCAGTGCCCTGCCTGCAGATCTCACACTCAGTGAGCATCTCACAGCTTCTTTATCCTCTGTCTCCAAATCACACTGGCCACACCACATGAGGGTCTGTGATGCATCAGAGAGCTCCAGGTAGAAACCCAGCTATGTTTTAACATAACTGAATTATTCACTTGTATAACTCATTAAGTGATGATCTGAGCCCTCAGCGCACAGCTAACGACAGTTTAGCCCACAGTTCTCCACAATGCTGGCACTGAAGCAGAGAGGAGCAACCATCCATAAGCAGCGCTCACAGCCAGCTCTCACCCTTCCTCCCCAGCCAAACCGAGCTGCTGCTGGGTAGCAAGGGGACACCAGGGCTAGCAGAGAGCATGAAAGGAGCCAGGAGTATGGACTCGGCCCAGCTGATTTCCTCTTTCTCCCTTCAGGCTGCCCATCATAGAATTGTTTGACTAGAATTGCACGACTGGATGATTTAAAGATCCCTTCTGGCTCCACGGCAATGAACAACTCTTTGAAAGGGCAGATAACAGCAGGACAAGGGGAAACGGTTTGAAGTTGAGGGAGGGAAGATTGAGGTTGGACGTCAGGGGGAAGTTTTGTATTATGAGAGTGGTGAGGTGCTGGAACAGCTGCCCAGAGAGGCTGTGATGCCCCGTCCATCCCTGGAGGTGTTCAAGGCCAGGTTGGATGGGGCCCTGGGCAGCCTGGGCTGCTATGAAATGTGGAGGTTGGTGGCCCTGCATGTGGCAGGGGGTTGGAGCTTCGTGATCCTCGAGGTCCGTTCCAACCTGGGCCGTTCTGTGATTCTGTGAACAGACAGCTACACTGGATCACGAGCCCAGAGCTCCACGCAGCCTGACTTTGGGTGCCTGCAGGCAATAAGCATCCCCCATCCCTCTGGGCAGCCCACACCTCATTACACCTAAACCTCCCCTCCTTCAGCTCCAACCCATTTCTCCTCGTCCTACCACAGCAGCCCCTACTATAAAACCTGTCCCATTCCTTCTTCCGACCCCTTTGGGAACCGAAGGCCGCTTCTGGACGCGGCCCACGGCACTGCAGGCTCCCGGCGCTGTGAAGGCACGCCGCCGGCCACCAGAACGCCGTGCCTCGCGGCAGGCCGCTCCCCCGCACGGATACCCACCCGCAGCACCTGCCCCGTCAGCCACTTCTTCCCGTCGGGCTGCTCGTGGTTCAGCAGCAAGCCGACGATCCACGGCTGCAGGACGTAGAGACCGGGAGCGGAGAGATTCCTATTGCCGTACAGCAACCTGGCGGGGCGAGAGGAAGGGCCCCGTTTTGACAGCCGAAGCCCGGCAGGGCAGCCCGGCTCCCCCCGCCGCCGCCGCCGCCTCACCCGCCCTCGGCCGCCCGCTCCGCCGCTCCCGCCCCTCCAGCACTGCACACCGCCGCCATGGCCGCCCGCGGCCCGGGAAGGGGAAGCGCAGCCGGGCGGCAGCATCCGGGGCGGGGCGGCGTTCCGTGGGGCCGGAGCCGCCTCGTGGTTTGCGGGGTTGGGGATGGGGAGAGGACGGCGGTGTTGGAACGCAGCCGAGTTTATTGGGAGCAGCGCGCTCGGCGCTCTCCGAGTCCCCGTTCGCAGCAGATCCCCGGAGCTCCTCCGGCTCGCACCGCTGAACTGAACCGTTCCTTCGTGCCCGTGCTCGGGTGGCTCCGTGCTGCGTTCAGTCACGTTGCTCCCTGCCGGCTGCTGGGGGACGCGCTCACACGGGGAGCATCGGGAGGAGCATCGCGCCCGCCGCCATGCTGTCACGCTGTTTTTTCTGGAGCACGGCTGCGATTTGGGTCCATCCCAGTCGGGCTCGTGGCCGCCCCAGCACAGAAACGAAGCGAGGATCGCTGGGATCACCCTGAGCTGGGGCGGCTGCGGTGTGCTGGGGGGGAATGCTGGCCTTCCATTGCGCTTCCAGCTGTGGCTGCTATGAGGGCTGAGCTTTGGGAAGACGGCCCCCCTGGTGGGTTTCCAAGAAGTTCCGGAGGGTTCCCAGGTTTTCCAGCCTGTTACGGTGACAGAAGGGCTCTCACCTCTCCTGGCTGTTGTGCACAAAAATGGTGCTGCACGCAGTCTGGCTTTGCCGATCCAGCCCCGAGGGACAGAGGACAAGAGGGAAGGTGGGAGGAGGCACCTCCGTGCAGGAACAGAGGTGGTTCTGGTGCCAAAACCACGAGGCTCACGTTTTGGTAGATGAGATGAGAGAAGAGGGAGGTATGAAAAGTGGCAATCAAACTGCAGCCAAGGCCTGCACGGGCAAGCTGCTGCTTGTACTGCGTCAGCTTTGGGAGCAGAGGTGGCTTTTCACGGGGCTCAGGACAGTGTGTATCACCACCAGGTGAGCGTCAGCTGTCAGACCTCCCAGACAGGGCATTCCCTGCCCGGGCAGGACGCTGGGATCCCCTTCTGTCACACAGCCACCAGGAAAGCTGGATCGAGGATGTGGAGTAAAGCCAAGAGGCTGGCATGTTGCAGAGAGTTTTGTGGAGCAAAGAGCAGATGCAAGCCCTCACGGGAAAATGTGAGATAACTGAGTTGTAAAAGGCACCTGGAGGCACTGCGGTGTCAGCACAGAGGCAGACGGAGCAGTATGGCTGGAGTTCGCTTCCACTCTGCTCTGGTGACTGGGGCCAACCGGGGAATCGGCCTCGGGCTCGTCCGGCACCTGCTGGCATTGCCAAACCCACCTGAGTGGGTCTTTGCAACTTGTCGCGACCCCAAGGGGCAGCGAGCGCAGGTGAGGCTGGGCTGGAGCTGAGGTGGGGGACAGCAGGGCTGCTGCAGGAGGGGGGATGTGGGAGGGTCTCCACCAGGGAGCTGCAGCCCTGGACCTCAGGCACAGGAGAACCGGGGTGGGATGCAAGCAACGGAGCTGCTGCCACTGCCTGGCACCGTGTGCCCCAGGGCTGGAGGCAAAGGGCTGGTGTTGGCTGAGCAGCTCAGAGTGCGACACAAGGCTCACATCAGCTGTCTTCTACAGGAGCTGCAGAAATTGGCCTCCAAGCACCCCAATGTGGTCACTGTCCCACTCGGTAGGTGACACAGCTGGAGCACAAGGCTGCCTCCCTGGGCTCCCTGCTCTGCCAGCACGCCGTCCTCCCCCATCCCTGGTGCAGGGCTCTGTCCCAGCACTGTGCCTGCTGGCAGACACCGAGGGCAGCGGGCGCTCACCTCCCCACCTCGCCTCTGCAGAAGTCACCGATCCCGCCAGCATCAAGGCGGCCGCAGCCAGCGTCGGGGAGCGCCTCAAGGGCTCGGGGCTGAACCTCCTCATCAACAACGCTGGGATCATAAGGCCAAACAAGCTTGACAATGAAACACTGAAGGACATGGCCGAGGTGTACACCACCAACACCATCGCACCTCTGCTGGTCAGCCAGGTAATGTGCTCACCCACAGCTCCAGGAATGTCCCTGTTCTGAGGGCCGGAGATCCTCTGTGGCAGAAGGAAGGGGCTGGTGGAACAGAGCCCTGCTCTGCTCTTGTTCTGATGCTCCTGAGCTGTTCTGAGGAGCTGTGGGACAGGGGTTAGTGCTAAGGAGCTGGAACCTGGGGGGGGGAATGAGAAAAGAGGAAGATGGCTGCCAATGGTGCTGGTGCCAGCACTGCTGCTGTGGAAGGAGTTGGTCCTGTCCCCTGTGTGTGGAACCCTGAATCTCCCCTCCCCACAGGCGTTCCTGCCCCTGCTGAAGAAGGCAGCCCAAGGCAGCACGGGCTCGGGGATGAGCTATCGCAAGGCAGCCATTGTCAACATGTCCAGCACTGGGGGATCCATTTCTTCTTTTGGTGGTTGGGATATAATGGAAGTTGTCTCATACCGCTGCAGCAAGGTATGGCACATACCACATCCACACACTGTGGAGGGAAAATATCCTTCCTCTCCCTGCCCAGCCATGGGATCTGCACGTATCCCCATGCTGCACCTTCTCATCCCCACCTGATCCCTGTGCTGTCTCCACAGGCTGCTCTCAACATGCTCACCAGGTGCCAGTCCATGGGGTACCGGGAACACGGCATCCTCTGCGTCGCTTTCCATCCTGGATGGGTGCAGACAGACATGGGGAGTGCAGCCGGACACACGGTAGGGGCTTCCCCACTTTGGATCCATCCACAGCCTGTGCTGTGCTGCCCTGGACCCCTGCGCAGCGCCAGCCCCGGCTCCTGGCAGCCCCGCCGCCCGCCTTCCCAGCTCTCACCCTCCTCCCAGGGCTCTGCTTCCCCCTGGTCCCGGCCGCTGCCTTCCCGCAGCCGGGCTCCAGGGCACAGCCTGGGCAGCCCTTGGGCACACACGCCTGCGTTTCTGCCTCTGCCCTGCAGCCCCCCGTGACGGTGGACGCGAGCGTAGGAGGGATGCTGAAGGTGCTCTCCAAGCTCTCCGAGAAGGACAGCGGGTCCTTCCTGGACTGGGAAGGGAACGTTGTGCCCTGGTGAGGTGCTGGCCTGGCCTCGTGCCTGGATCCTGGCAGTGGCCCCTCTGCTGCTGCCCGACCTCTGCTAAGTCTTCAATAAACCCATATCTGACAACAGCAATGCTCTTGGCTCTATCTGTGAGCACAACAGGCTCTGTGGAACCCCATGGAGGAAGGCCCCTTCCCAAGGGGTCCCACCCCTCATCTGTGTGCATCAGAGCCCACTGTTCCCAACCACAGCCACTGCCAGGTGTCCCCTCAATTGACAGATGTCACTGCTGGAAACATCCCCTCCAGAAAGGCCAGGACTGGGGGCCAATACCTGTCTTTGGGGAGATGAGCTGCCTGGGGATGGGAGCAGCACAGGCAAGGTGGGGGTATAGGATCTGTCCAGCAAGGGTTCCTTATGAGGGCTGAGGTGGGGGTAGGAGGGGGCGTAGGGTGATGCAAAGTTAGGATGCAGGGCACCAAGTGGCTGCACGTGAGGTGGGGAATGGGGAGAAGCTTCTGCCCATGTCCGTGAGTGGGGAAGAGTGACATGGTTGTGCTGAGATGGCATCACCAGGGCAGGCGGTTCCCTTCCCAGTCAAGGAAGGCCCCACAGGTCTCCTGTGAAAGGATGCTCAGCACCTCCAGAATGCCCTGCATGCTGCGCTCCACTGTCAGGGGTGCCTGTGGAAGAGGACAAGGAACAGGATCACTGCCACATGCCCTGTGATGGGCAGGAAGAGCTGCAGGGTCTGACCAGGCTAGAGGGTGCATGGAAGCTGCTGCGCCCTTTTGTCCCAACTCGAATGGGGCTGGCTGCCTATAGAGATATTCTTCCTTCTTGCCAGTCCTCTGCTCTCCGTGTGAGGGACAGGGCTGGCAGCCAGTGTCCCCTGCCAGCCCCAAGCAGCTGCAGAGCCTCTACCTCCACACACAGAGCTGCAGACCTCAGAGCATTCCCTTGGCTCCAGCTTCACCAAGCAGCAGGGACACAGCACCCGTTCCTTGTGTTTCCTGCACAGCAGCATACCTGCTCCGTCCCCATGTCGGTCTTCACCCAGCCAGGATGGATCGCTGCACACAAGATCCCCTTGTCCCTGAGCTCTGCAGCCAGGCACCTGGTCACCATGTTCTGGGCAGCCTGGAAGAGTCAGATAGCATGGGCACGGCTCAGGCTGGTGCTCTGAGTGCTCATGCTTGTAGGACCAGGCAAGGGATGCCTGGAGCAGGTCCATGGGGGACTATCCCCAAATCCCCCCCTGCCCCCTCACCTTGCTGGCACGGTATGGGTACATGGGGGCCTCCAGCACCCCAAGACACAGCCCGATGGAGCCCACTTTGGAAGACACATTGACGATGGCAGCCCTGCTGCAGCTCAGCCCCTCCGTCCCTGCGTCCTTCGCCGCCTTCTCCAAGAGCGGTAGGAATTCCTGGCAGGAAGATATGCATCAGAGCTCTGTTTTCAGCCTTGCCCTGGAAGTCCTCACACCATGATTACAGGCACAGAGGAGCAGCCCTAGCCCACACACACCTTGGCAACCTGCAGGGGCCCCACCACGTTGACTGCAAACACGGCGAGCATCTCCTGTGCATCCACAGACTGCAGCGTGGCCTGCGAGCCGACGCCAGCGTTGTTGATGAGCAGGTTCAAGCCCTGGCCCTGCAGATGAGTCTCCACAGCCTGCACGGCTCCACGGATGCTGGGCAAGTTCACCGTGTCTGCAGGGCAAAAAGAAGAATGTGACTGCATTCACTTTATGGATTTGAGGGGTTATTTTGTAAGCCTGGAGGAATGCTGTAGCTGCATTCGTGGAGACTTCCTCCAAGAGCTATAGGGCTTGCTGGTGTATTGGGGAAATATTCATTATCTTATTGACTTACATTCTGATCTTTCCTGGTTGATACCCAGTCTGATGGGTCATTGAGAGTGACCTTTTCATTTTCCAACATGCTAAAATTCATCTTTCCAGGATACAACATGAAACCTTTCCTTGCAGACTGCGATTCCCATCCTTCTCTTACCTACAGATGCTCCAGCCCCCCTACACTACATAGGAGTGGTATGTTTTAAGTCTGTGTTTTCTTAAGGTTTGCTTGTCAAGATCTGTATCGCATGATGGATGCTTGCCCCACTGAAATGTCCCTCATTTCTTTAAAAGGAGACATCTGAACACCTGGCAGATCTGAAACGAGCCTGGTTAGACCAACCGTTAACATTGGCAATGCATTTTTATGTCACAACTACACAAGCCCTTAAGGTCTATGAATATTCACATTTGTGGGTGCTGCTGAGGATGAGTCCCAGTGCACACATGCTCTGCAGAGCCTGCTGCAGGGAGAATCTGGAAGCCAGGCCCCCACTTGCAACATTCTGCCCCCACTTGACTTGTGTTCTCAAGCTTGCACAAGACTGAATTAGCAAAGATGGGAAGAGCTAAAGACGACTTGTTCTTCCCTTGAGCACCAGAATGACCCTTTTCTGGGGCATTTTGAAGTAGTCTGGTAGGTTTATGGTGGTGGCAAGCAAGCCTTAAGTCATCTTATAAAGCTTTTGAGTGATCTGGGAGTCAAGTATCCATGGGGCAGCATAGATTTTTGGAAGATGAGTGTTACCTTACGGAAGCAGCATTTTTTTTTTTCTGATGCCCAGCTTGAGTTTGGAGTTATTTGTGATTTGTGGTTTTGACCTCTGTGCTGAGGCATGTGGACCCCTTGGAGCAAGAGCCTGAGCTTGTTCAGATGCTGCTCAGCTTGGGGCTGTTGCTGGTGGTACTGAAAGCCTTCGCCATTGCATTGGGGAGCTGATGGGGATGCAGCGGTGGGATTCAAGAGGATATTTGGGACATGACATTGCTTGCATTGCAGGGGAGTTGGGCTAGATGACCTTTTAGGGTCTCTTCCAACTCAAGTGATTTCATGATTCTTTGGTCTCATGAAGGATATTTCTCAACAAGCTTTATGACGACTTCTTTTTGGATGATGTACAAGCAGAGCTCCAAGCTCCATTACTCCAGGTGTCATTCACTGGCTTGGGTGAATGATTAATGTCTGTGTTTGGACTGGCTGAGTCATTGCTCCAAGGGAGAATGGGGCCAGGCATGCGTGACAAGCACATCCCTATTGCTACACCAGCCTAATTAGCTGAAGGCAACTTCTCCTCTCCTCTCCACAATGGCTGAAGTGGTGCCTACAAAGCAAAATGCACGCCCAGATCCTCAGCTTTCAGATGGAAGAAAACGGGGTTAGAAAGGGAAAGAAAGAAATGCAGAACGAGAGGATACAGTGGGCATTCCAGAGTTAATTTCTTTCATTTCTGAAACACGTGTTCCTATCATTGGTTTGAAGTAAACCATTCCCTTACGTGGAGGAAGGCAGCCTGGAGCAGAACTCCCTGTAGATGAACACCCCAACTTTGGCGATGCAAAGTGCCATTCTCTGCAGCTCTCCCTTTTATCCCATGCCCTTGTCTTCTCCTCTCCTGCTTGTCACTCCACCTGGCAGACATCCCAGCTCACCAGGCTGAAGCCACATGGCTGCCACCACCAAGGTCTAGCAAAGACATCCATAGTTGCGCCCCCAGACGAGTGGAGGGCACAGGAGGGAGGAGGGCCAGGAGCAGCAGAGCCTTATGAAGGAGTGGGGGTGCACCATACCTAGATGGATCAGCTTGATGTTGGGGTGCCGGGCTGCTAATTCTTGCAGGGCCTGGAGACAAGGGCATGGAGCAGGGGGTTAGAAGCCACCAGCAGCACTGCTGGTCTTCCCACCCATCCCATCCTCGTCCCCGAGGAGCAGACTGCGGTGGCTTTGCTCTTGCTGGGGAAGCTGTCAGGTGAAGGGGGGCTGCTGGGCTCGGCGCTGTCCCCAGCAGGGAGAAGGGGATGATTGGCTCGGTGTGAGCACCAAGGTCATGGGCGCCACATGGGCACAGCCCACCTTCCCCTCGCCCTCAGAGCACCCAACCAAGCTTGATCCCAGCAGACACCCAGGAGGGGCCGTGATGCCCCTCGCTCCCCTGGCTGGCAGACATCCCCAGGCACTGACCTTCCCTCTCGGACCAGTGACATCACGGCAGGTGGCAAAGATGTGCTGTGGGGGTTGGGGGCTGGCGGCGAGCTGCCTCACCAGCTCCAGCCCAATGCCCCGGTTGGACCCCGTCACCAGAACGCTCCGAGCCAGCGTGGCCATCTCCAAGGGGGCGAGACAGTCACAGTGGTGACAAACAGGCTGCTCCCAGTGGAACTGCAGCCTGCTTGGCGTGAACGGGAGAAAAGGCACAGCCCAGGGAGTGGCTTTGGGTGCTCATGGGGATAGAGATGGTGCCAGCAGCAGCCCTGGTGCCTTGGATGCCCTGGGACCAGGGTGGGCACGCGTCATGGGGTGATGGTTCTCCTTGCATTGCCCGCTCTCCAAGACTTGACTTCTTGTCCAAAGCCCCAGATCCCAAGTCCATGCAACCACGGGAGAAGGATCACATCCATTCAGAGCTTGGAAGCGTGCTTGGAAACACAACCAAGAAATGGAAGGGACACAAGCAGGTCCTCCTTGTAGCAGTGGGGTTGCAGCAAGCTCATTCTTTATGCCTGCTTTCCCCCAGGAGTCAGCAGAGAAGACCCCCAGCTGCCCACAGCCTCAACCACTGGGCACCCAGCCCACAGCCCTCACCCTTCTCCCCATCCTCACTCTACCGCCCATCATCCAGGGAAGGACATTGCTGGATGCTTAGCAGGTGCAACAAAGCAAAAGCTCCTGCAGCCCAAGTCAGCCTGGGGACACGGATTTTTAGGAGGCAGAAATGAGTAACGTGCTAAAAAAAACAAAGAACTGCCATGTAAAAAGTGATGAGCTGAAGAACAGAGGCAAAGTGAATTGAAGTGGGAGAGGAAATTTTGGACAGGGATGTACTCTAGGGTGAGTCTGTTGCATCTGGATGTGGCCAAATGTACACGGTGCTCAACCAGAGGGGACAGAACTGGCTATTTCATCCATATCTGGACAGCTGTAAGTCTGGCACTTATTAAAGAAATACGTGGGCCAGCAGCTGGGAGATGGTGGAGTCGCTGTAAGTTTGGAAGGTTTGCTTTCAGGTGACAGAGAGCGCAGAGAGGGATAAGCAGTGATGGCTCCTTCTTTTGGTGGGAAGTCTGTGGCCACTAAGAGAGAAATAAACATTCTGGGTGTGGGTTTGGTTGGCATCAGACTCAGAGCAGCCATAAAAGGCGTTATGGAGGTGTCATCACCCATGCAAGCAATTGCACTGCACAGGCTTGTCTGCTCCTGCTGCTGTCCTGCAAAGCAGCAGCTGGAGTAGAGTTGTCACGAACCAACAAGACTGGAGTTTCCTCTTTTCCTTCCAGGTTCCTTGAGGACAGCTGACACCAGCAAAAGGCTGAAGGACCAGGAATGGCTGCAGGCCAGCAGAGCTGGGGAAGGCAAGCAGCGAGCAAGCTTTGGAAGTGGCTGATGGCAGTGCAGGCATGCTGATGGCTCGGGAATACAAAGCCTGGGGCCGGAGGATCTCTAATGTGCCCAGAGGAGACACTGAGGGGAAGAGATGAAACTAATCTGGATAAGTCAAAAAAATCTGATCGTTGTCCCCGTCGCCCCTTCTTTCCCTTCTTTCCCCTGCATTTTATTGCTGACCGTGATGCCGTACGGTATAGAACAGCCCTCTGCTCAGCTCGGGTCACCTGCTCCCTCCCAGATCCCGGTTCACTGGCAGACTATGGCCACCCACGTGAAACATCCACTGAACGTCCATGACACGCGCACTGAGTTCATCTCATCAGTCACTTGGGTTCATTTTATGACGATGACTCAGGATGGGAAACGCGCTGTGTGGTGTGGAGTTACTGGGTGCCAAGGTGGCTTCAGGTCGGGTCACTGCTGTGCTGCTTATTGAAAGCTCATCAGTTTGAGCGCCCCGCCTGGCTGAACCTGGGCGGCCAAGCGCTGCCAAACCCCAACAGCGCCATTCAGCCCAGCGAGGCGCCCTTAAAATGGCGGCTCCCAGCCCGGCTTCGCCCAGCCTGCGTCACGTGACCGTCGCGTCCCACCATTGCATCAGCCAGCGCGCGTCCTTCCCCTCGGCCGAGAGACGTCTGGTGGGCGGGGCTTCCGCTGAGCGACGGCTCACGCAGCCAATCGGCGGCCGGCGCCCTGCTTTGCGGGTGCTGCGGCGGCCGGGCCGGGTGTGTGGAGCGAGGGGCGGCGGTGCCCGGCGAGGTAGGCCGGGGTCGGGCGGGGGCCGCGGGCACGGGGCCGGGCAGCGCCGCGGGGGCCGAGGGAAGCACCGGAGCCCGGAGCCTGGCTCTGGCGGCCTGCCGGGGCTGAGCCAGGGGAAAAGCTGCCTGAAGGCGGCTCGAGGATGCTGGGGTTGGGCCGGTATCGTGGGGGGTGATGAAGGCGGTGGCGTCTGAGAGCCTCGCCCTGCGCTCGTCCCCTCGCTCTGCACCAGCCCTGCCCCGTTCCGTCCTGCCTGCTTCGGACCCGCAGCCTCGGGATGGAGTCCGCGCTGACAGCGAGCCAGATCCGGCAGCGATTCATTGACTTCTTCAAGGAGAACCGGCACACCTACGTGCACTCCTCTTCCACCATCCCTCTGGATGACCCCACGCTGCTGTTCGCTAATGCCGGCATGAACCAGGTAGGATCCCAGCTCTGCTCCTTGCAGCTGCACCAGGGAGCTGTTTGCAGAGCCTTTGGAGTTGCCGGTTCCTTCCTAATAAACAACAGAGGTCATCGATTGTTTGTAAAACAACAAATGAGCAACGTGGTGAGCTGCAGGTGTCCCCATTCATTGCAGTGGGGTTGGACTGGATGGCCTTTAATGGCCTCTTCCAACTCAGACTGTGGTGCTGTGAAGCAGAGTTTAAAACCTCAGTGCGTTTACCCATCTTTTCTTAGCTGACTTCTTTCCAGCTGTGCTTGAGTTCACCTTGCAGGAGGTTCAGTTCTCCCTTCACCTATCAGTGCCTGCTCCCCGAGCAGAGCTGGTTTCCCATTGCTCTGGTTTCACTGAAATGAGGTTTGTATTTGGCTGCTTGCAGCCTGAAGTGTTCTCAAACACCAAGTAACTAGCAGAGGCTTCTGCTGGTTGTGTGGGAAATTAGCATTGTGTTCTCCATCTCTGGTCACTGTTGCATCCGCAGGTTTGCTATTGCAGAGTTGGCAGGGGAGGTTTCTGTGCCTCCAGGGCTGACAGTGCAGAGATGGGAGCGCTGCCAGTCTGCCCTCCTTGACCCTTTGGAGCACAGCTAGCACTGCAAATAGTTGCAGAGAGAATGCTGGCACAAATGACCACCAGCATCTCTAGGGAGCAGTTGGAGCGGTTTTTCTGGAGTTTTCCTCATCTTTTTGGCAATTGGGAATCTGGCTGTTTTCAGTCCCTTTGGAAGTTCTGGGGCTTGCTGTGCTCCAGCCACGTGTGCTGGGTGCTGCATCCTCCTCACATGCAGCAGACTGAAGGCTGTCTCAGAGACATCCAGGCCAGCAGTGCCATGATATAGAAGATACTCAACGCCTCGCCGTTGCTTTTAACATCTAAAACCAGGCCCTGAGTGCTTTCCTCAATTCCTCTCTTTTCTTTGCCCTCAGTTCAAACCCATCTTCCTCAACACCATCGACCCCTCGCACCCGCTCGCTAAGCTGAGCAGAGCCACCAACACTCAGAAGTGCATCCGAGCTGGGGGCAAGCACAACGACCTGGACGATGTGGGGAAGGATGTCTACCACCACACTTTCTTCGAGATGTTGGGCTCCTGGTCCTTTGGGGATTATTTCAAGGTAAAACAGGCTGAGCTGAAACACATCTCTGTGTTTCACATCTCTGTGGGCTCAGCGGAGTGTTTGCCAAGGGGAAGGAGGCTGTTCTGGCACAGAGGGGCTCCTAAGGTACACTTGGCTCCCCCAAGCTCTGCAGAGCATTTTGTGATAAATTACTGAAGATTTACAAAACTGATTATATTGTATTAATGATGGCAGTTTGAAGTCTTCAGGTAGAAGTTTTAGTGGCTGTCCTGGGGCTGTGGTCATAAAATAGCAATATTCAAAAGCTTCTTGCTTGAGTGAGATTCATATTATGAAGGGATTATGAAGAATGCAGCATTATCAGCAGATTTCAAAGGCTTTTTTATGTTTTTGCTGAGGATTATAGGCTTTAATTTGATTTCACCTGCAAAACTATGTAAGGTGTGTTGTGTGACTTGTTTGCTACATGTACTGGTTTTCTTATTTCTTATGCCAAAGGTCTGAGAGCTCTGGATTGTTTCTTAGATAGCTGTCCTGGTCCAGTTAGGGCTGATAGTACAGGAGGACCCCAGGAGAGACTGTGTGTGGAAGGTTTCTGCATGTTTGGATGATACTCTGGGTAGATCCTAGTCAGCCAGTACTCTAGCTGAGCAGGTACTGCATGCTGAAGAGGAGGCCTGTTTGCACTCACGTACTCAGCTCCTCTTTCCTTCTGCAGGAACTCGCATGTAAACTGGCACTGGACCTTCTCACCAAGGAGTTTGGCATCCCTGCAGAGAGACTCTACGTCACTTACTTTGGTGGAAATGAGGCTGCAGGACTGCAGCCAGACCTGGAGTGCAAGCAGATCTGGCTGGATTTGGGGTGAGGGCCTTTAACTGAGAAAGCTTTGTGTTGTGATGAACAGCTGCCATCTGCCTTTCATCAGAGAAAGACGCCGTGTGCTGAGGCAGAGCGCTTACAGCAGGAGGTTTTGAAAAACAGAAGCATCCCCAATAATGTTTGCAGGGTGGTAGAGCTGCAAAGCCACGAGGAAGCACTGATACTAGATGGAAGAGGCTGAGATTCAGGTCAAGCCCTGGAGTTTTCTTTGCAAAATCTCCTTTATGAGCTTAAGAACATAAGAAGTGCCCTGCTGTGTCAGATCGATGATCTGTCTGTGTGACAGCAGTTAAGATGCTGTTCAGGGAAAGCAGGCAAACCTGGTTGTGATCTGTTTGCTTTTCTTCTCCTCCCAGCACTTGCAGTCAGTGGATCAAGTATGTTAGCAGGTCATTCATCCCTTCCCCTTGGTCTCTGCTTGGCCATGTGCTCCTTCAGCCTCAGTCTGATTCTGTTTCGAGCCCTCTCTAACCCTCAGTTTCCCACTCAGTCTTGCCCTCTCCAGTCGTACTCTTGTGTTGATGTCAAAGATGCACCCGTGTTCTCAGTGGCAGCTTTGGTGGGGTGCTGTGTCCATGTCTGCCTTCCAGCCAGTACTCCTCAGAGGGGAGGTTAAACCTTAAAAGTTAGATTCTGGAATTGTCAGAGGCAGGCTGATCCAGAGAAGGAGTGGGCTGAGAGCTCTCTGTTGAGACTCCCTCACAGTTGGGCGACCTCCTGCCTTGCTGTAAGTCTCTTGTTCAGTAGGAGCCTCTTGTTACAGGCTGGCTGAGAGCAGGATTCTGCCTGGCAATATGAAGGATAACTTCTGGGAGATGGGTGACACAGGCCCCTGTGGCCCTTGCAGCGAGATTCACTATGACCGGATTGGGGACAGAGATGCTTCACACCTGGTCAACCAGGATGACCCCAACGTCCTGGAGATCTGGAATTTGGTGTTCATACAGTTCAACAGGTGAGCCAGAGCTGCTCCCCAGTGCAGCAGCTGCTTGGCTGCGTTCCCAGTGCTCTTACCCAGGTGTTTCTGTACTGCTTTGCTGTTTGCTGGGGCCTTCTTCCTATACCTGCAAAGATCTTCAGCAATTTGGACGCTGTAGCAAGCTGAATTCTGGTCTTGCTCCACTGCCTCCACCTATGACAGCTTGTCTTTCTTTCTGTGTCTGGGCAGGGAAGCCGATGGGAGCCTGAAACCTCTTCCCAAGAAAAGTATTGACACTGGGATGGGTTTGGAACGACTGGTTTCCGTGCTGCAGAACAAGATGTCCAACTATGACACCGACCTTTTCCTTCCTTACTTTGAAGCCATCCAGAAGGTACAAACTGAGGAGTCTGAGCCTGATCTCACTGCATCCATTGCCTGGATCCCTGGGGAGAAGAGTGGGGCAGGTCAGGTTGGAATGGTTGTATCTGCAGGTCTCTGTTTTCCCAGTTACTGCCAGCCCCGTGGGTTTGTACTTTGCTGAGGGTAGGAGCTCTGGCTGGCCCAGTAATTACTGCCTTGGGGGATATTTCCCAAGGAGGACAAGGGGCAGGAGTAGTGCAGCTTTCCCAGGTGTTTCTAGCAAACCACATGCAGGCACTGCTTTGTTACAGCAGTGTTCTCTGGGGTACAGCTAGAAACACCCTGAAACAGGGAAACTGGGACCCTGTCCCTCCTGGTAGGATTTGAAAGGTTTCTTGGCTGGGCAGTGTATGTCAGACCAGAGTCTATCAGCCAGTGTGCAAAACAGATGTTTTCCCTCTTGATTCCCATTACGATGTGTCTCTCTCCCTCCCTCTTCTGTCCTGGTCTCAGTGGTGGATTAAGCTGCCTTTACCTCCCTCTGCTCCTTGATGTCCTTCAGCCCTGAGAACGCAGGCACTGTGCAGAGCTCTCTGTCTTCCCCCACTCCCTCCTTCCCAGAGGAGTGTGCCATCCCTGTGGGATGAGTTTGGCTTTCTGAGGTGCTTCCCTGTTGTTCTGCCCTGCTGCTGATCCCTGCGTTCTGCTCCCCACGCAGGGCACGGGTGCCAGGCCATACATGGGGCAGGTTGGTGCTGAGGATGCTGATGGCATCGACATGGCATACCGTGTGCTGGCAGACCACGCACGGACCATCACACTGGCCCTCTCTGATGGTGGCAGACCTGACAACACTGGCAGAGGGTAAGGAGGGAGCTGCTGCAGGGCTGCTGTGTCCGTTCTGTTCAGTGCAGGATCTGGGAGGTCTGAATTCAGTGGGTAGCAAAGCATTAGTTCAGTGTATTTGAGTCCTTGGGGCAAGGTCCACCTGAAAAGCCAGGCCATAGAGGTCTGAGCATTCTCATGACTCCTACAGAGGGGACTGCTGTGGACTGGTAGGCATAAAAGCTTGCTGAGTGCAGTACTGCTGTCAGAAGAGCAATTGGGCCGAGGGGATGTGCTGTGGGTACTGCTGGACTCGGGACTGACTCGAGCACACAGCACATCTGAGCCGTGGGGCTGAGGATGGGGCAGGATCCCTGGTGCAGCCTTTGAGAACAAATCAGAGGTGTGACACTTGCATTGAGGGGCTCTGCTGTTTTATCACTGAGAGGGCGGCAAGACCCTGACACTGGCTGCCCACAGGTGGTGTGGATGCCCCATCCCTAACATCAAGGCCAGCTTACGTGGGGCCCCGGGCAGCTTGATACAGTGGTTGGCAGCCCTGCTTACGGCAAAGGGGTTGAAAGTAGATGATGTTTAAGGTCCGTTCCAACCCAAACCATCCGGGATGGTATTTCCTAGCTATGTGCTGAGGCGGATCCTGCGCCGAGCCGTGCGTTACTCCCACGAGAAGCTCAGTGCCCCCAAGGGCTTCTTTGCCACGCTGGTGGACGTCGTGGTGCAGTCCCTGGTAAGTTCTTGCCCCGCTCCGCTGCGTCTGATGGCGTCGTCTGCTGAGGTGTGCAGATCTCTGTGCTGAATCCTCTTGGGTGTGCAGGGAGATGCCTTTCCTGAGCTGAAAAAGGACCCGGATATGGTGAAGGACATTATCAATGAAGAAGAGGATCAGTTCCTGAAAACGCTCAGCAGAGGACGTCGCATCCTGGACAGGAAGATCCAGAGCATGGGAGACAGTAAAACCATCCCTGGTGAGGCCGTGGCTTCAGTTTGGAGGCACCAAAAGTCATTTATCGTGGAATAAATGGGCCTGAGGGCCGAGCTGGGCTGGGAATTGGGTGTTGGTGGAAAGTGTAGAGGGCAGAGCTGGAGGCATAGAATCATAGAATCGCCAAGGTTGGAAAAGACCTCAAAGCTCACCCAGTCCAACCGTTCACCTATTCCCAACAGCTCCCACTAAACCACATCCCTCAACACAACATCCACCTTTCCTTGAACACCCCCTGGGTCGGTGACTCCACCACCTCCCTGGGCATCCATTGCAGTGCCTGACCACCCTTTCTGAACAGTAATACTTCCTCATGTCCAGCCTGAATCTCCCCTGCCGTAGCTTGAAACCATTCCCTCTGGTCCTATCACTGATGACACGAGAGAAGAGTCAACAGATCACTGCTGTCTTCTCTGTCCTGCGTTCCCTTGCTCAGGTGTCTGAGCTGCACAGACACGACATGGCAGTGTGATCTCTGTGCCCAGGAGACTGTCAGTGAGGAGGCTCTTAGGTGCCTGTGTCAGCCAGACCTGTTCATTGTCCTGCTGTGATGCAAAGCTCGTTGAGGAGCGGTGTCTGTGGAGCAGGAGCTGAACTGTCTGCTTTTTCCATGCAGGTGATACTGCCTGGCTGCTGTATGACACTTACGGTTTCCCTGTGGATCTCACTGGGCTGATAGCAGAGGAGAAGGGCCTTGTTGTGGACATGGAGGGCTTTGAGGAGGAGCGGAAGAACGCGCAGGTAGACAACAGCACCAGGGGTGGCTGATCTGAGAGCGGGCAGGGAGGGCTCCCTTTGTTTTAATCTGCAGCTGTGAGCTCATGCTCCTTTCTCCAGAGGCCTGGAGCACTTTGGGAAGCTTTCCTAAGAGCTTTGGGAAAGATCAGGGCACAAGATCAGAGCTGTCATCCAGCAGTGCCACGGTTGGGTTTTCAAAAGCTTTGGTTCTTGTGGTTGGCAGCTCAAGTCCCAGGGCAAAGGTGCTGGAGGGGAGGACCTCCTCATGCTGGACATCTATGCCATCGAAGAACTCAGGGCCCGAGGGCTGGAGGTGACAGATGACTCGCCAAAATATGGTTATACCTCAGATCCAAGCGGCACCTACGGTATGAAAAAGCCCTCTCAGAATCACCCTCTCCTTTCCTCCCACATCTCCCTGGGAGGAGCTGCTTTGCCTTCCTGGGGCATCTGACTTAACGAGGTCCCCTCTGGGTTCATCTTTCCTGGGTGGGACTGGAAATGTGTGCAGGGGAATAGTTGTGCAAGGAAGGGACAGAACACTGAAGAAAATCATCTTATCCAGTACTGCTGTAGTTCTTCCTCCATACCCCCTGCAACTGTAGCTCCTGCATTGGCTGGGAGGTGTTGCTGTGAACGAAGTTCTGCTCCCAAATAGTGTCTTGTTTCATTGACGTTGCCTATTGTCTTCGGTGACAGATTTTGGGAGCCTTGTGGCCACAGTGAAAGCCATCCGCAGGGAGAAGAAGTTTGTGGAGGAGGTGTCCACTGGCCAGGAATGTGGGATAGTGCTTGACCGGACCTGCTTCTATGCTGAGCAGGGTGGGCAGATCTATGACCAGGGCTACATGGTCAAGGACGACGACAGCAGGGAGGATGTGAGTCTGCCTGAGAGCCTTTCACTAGTCTCAGCCTCACCTGCAGCCCAGGCAGCTGGGTGCAGAGGAGAAGGGGCCAAGTAAGCTCCAGCGATCTCCTGTCTTGGGTCAGGACCTGCACAGGTTTCCTTTTTGGGGTGCAGGATGGCACAGATGTGCTGGAGTTGGTTCTTCTTGCTTGGGAGGTTGCGCTGAACTCTGCTGCAGCATCAGGCTGTTGCTGGGCCATGGTGCCTGCGGTGGTGGTGCTGGGGTGGCTGTGCTTTTAAGCTGAGGTGGGGACCTCTTTCAGCTCTGCATGGGGCATCTTGCTTTCCCATATCCCACACACCACTCCAGCTCTCACTTACACCTTTCCAGCTGCAGCTTGGGGCTTTGGGCAGGACAGTGCATCTCCCTTGATCTGTCACTCCCCTTACTGGGTGTGTTTTCCTCTTTGCACAGAAAACTGAATTCACTGTGAAGAATGTGCAGGTCCGAGGAGGTTATGTGCTTCACATAGGGACTCTGTATGGAAGCTTGAAAGTGGGAGACCAGGTCCACCTGTCAATCGATGAGGTGAGTTAAGGCATGGCGTAACGTGGCTTTGTCTCTTGGCCCTTTTCTCCTTCCTGTGGAGCAGCTTGGCTGCTGCTTTGGAGGCCTGGAGGTCGGGTCCTGCTCTCCCTGCATGGTTCAGGTAAGCTGAGTCAGGGCCTCTCCTTCTGGGATCTGGCTTCCCCTTCCATGAGGCAGATAACACTGCTGGCTCAGCCACACTCCGGGCTTTGCTGACCTGAGCAGGACCACACCTTTGGCCCTGAGCAGGGGGATGGAATGCGTGTGCAGCACCACTGTGTTGCTGATGACAGTGGAGAGCCTGGGCTGTCTGCCTTTCTCCAGACATTGCTCCAGCAAGCTGAGCCTGCTGAATGGAGCCCAGTCTGCAAAATGTGTTTCCTTTCTCTTTAGAGGCACCTCCGGAGCAAGAGAGAAGGCGTGTTGCAGGGACAGGCATACTGCTTTATCCCTGGCCTCTCTCCAGAAAAGCCCAGGCAAGGGGACAGGCAGGGAAAAGCTGTGTGCAAACATAGAGGGGAATATCCTGCTCCTATAGCTGAGGCTCCAAGGCAGCAAGTTGTTTCTGGTGAAGCAGCACATCAGCCTGTACCTCCACAGCTGGAGGTGATCCTGGCTGTGCAGTGTGGGACCCATCTAACAAGGCCTTTCTCCATCAGACCAGGCGGAGACCGGTCATGAGCAACCACACAGCCACCCACATCCTCAACTTCGCCCTGCGCTCAGTGCTGGGAGAAGCAGACCAGAGAGGGTCGCTGGTGGCACCAGACAGGCTGAGGTTTGACTTCACAGCCAAGGGAGCCTTGTCCACACAGGAGATCAAGAAAGTTGAAGGCATCGCCAACCAGATGATCGAGGAGGCAAAGGTGGGTTGGTCAGCTGGAGGGGTCAGCTAGTTTGCTGGCCCCATCCTGCAGGAAGAATCCTGCCCTTTTCCTGGTGGATCTGTGCACTGCAGTGTCTGAACTGGGCTTGGTGGACAGCTGAGGCACCAGCTTTCAGTAGGAGTCTGGCTTGAATCTTGTTCTTAATCTGCACACCCCTCCTTGGAGCTGAGCTGTGTGTGAGGTGTAACGTGGATAAGAGCTTCTTATGTTGCCATTTTCCCCATTGTGTGAGGACAGAGAGGAAAACTCATTCCTTGGTCGTCACCTCTTCCCACCAGCCTTTCGTGGAGGGACCATCTCCCTGTCTCTTTAATCCTTGGGTTTGGCTGGTATATGTATGCTTGTGAAAAAGACACTGTAAGTGAAGTTTTTGGATGGCCTGGGATGCTGGAAGTGTGGCTCGGTGCTTCTGAGCTGCTGGTGCTGCACTGTGCAGATTTGCATTGCTTCAGAGGGTTTTGAGTGGGGAAAATTCCATGTGTGTTCATCTGTTCCTTCCTTCCAAGCCCTGTCCAGCTTGGAATGGTTCCTTGCCTGTGCTAGTGTCACACTGTCTGCAGCTGCCAACAAGCTTAGCAGAGCAGTTTAGAAGGTCTGTCAGTTACACCGGGATCCCTGCAGCTCAACCAACCCCAGGTCAGGTGGAGCTTTTAGATCCCATTTAGGATCTTTCAGAGGAAGTCAGGATGGAAGCGCAGGCCCTCGGTCGCATCTGACAGGACCAGCTCTCACCTGCATGCTTTTCCTTTGCTCTGCAGACTGTGTATGCCAGGGACTGCCCTCTCGCAGCAGCCAAAGCGATCCAAGGGCTGCGGGCAGTTTTTGATGAGACCTACCCCGATCCTGTCCGTGTGGTCTCTATTGGCATCCCTGTGGAGGAGCTGCTGGCCGACCCCTCCGGCCCTGCAGGCTCCATCACTTCCATCGAGTTCTGCGGAGGGACGTGAGTATCTGGAGAGACCAGGGAAGGTGGCAGGGGGGGGGAAAGCAGTCCCTGTGAATCCTGAGCTTCTGAGGGCTGTAATGTGGTTGTGTGCTGGGCGAGGAAACTGCCTGCATGCTGTCGCTGCCCCCACGCAGTGTCTGACAGCACTGGTGCTTGCCACCCTTCCCTCACTCTTAAGCTCTTAGTGGCAGGGTTGGGCTTTCTGTCTGTCCCTTGCTACTTCTCCCTGGCAGGGTGGTTTCCTGGTTTCCATGCTGAATCCTGCTGAGATGAGAAGCAGACTGGTCTGCTAACTCTCTCTTGTTGTGGGTCTCTTTCTGGGTTCTTTCTTAAGGCACCTGCAGAACTCTGGCCATGCTGGGCCCTTTGTGATTGTTTCAGAAGAAGCCATTGCTAAAGGCATCCGGAGGATAGTGGCAGTCACTGGGGCTGAAGCTCGGAAGGTAAGAGCAGGCAGGAGTTGTTCTCTTCTGGGAGGATCTTGGCAGTCCTTCTGGCAAGGGAGGGTGCAGCCACAATGTGGCTCTGGGCAAGCACTGCCTGCGTTGGCTCTGCTGCTTTCCTGGGGGTTACTGAGCTCTGTGCCTGGTGCTGCTGCCTTCCTGACGCTTCTTTTGGGGGGGGCCTGGTAGCTCCCCCTGCGTGACGTGACTCAAACTGTGTTCTGCCAGGCCCTCAGGAAGGTAGAGAGCCTCAAGAAATTGCTGTCAGCCCTGGATGCCAAGGTGAAGGTCCAGACAGCTCCCAACAAGGATGTGCAGAAGGAGATCACAGACCTCAGTGAGGTGAGGGTGGCAGCAGCGCTGGGACCTTACTTGCTGGCACTGGGAGTTATTAATGAAGCCCAGGCTGTTTCCTGCTTCTCTGTCTCCTCCTCTGGGTCCTCTTTGTCTTGGTTACTCTCGTGGGGTTAATTGGTGAATTTAAGTCTTGTGCCAACACTCTTGTAGGACTCAAGCTCAACAGAGGTCTCAGCCCTGTGTTCTTTGGGTTTGCAGCTCACACCTGAGCTTGCTGGATAGTGGGACAGGGGAGCTCAATCACTTTGAGGTTCACGGATGCAGTGCACCATGCCCTGCCTTCTGCCATGGGCAGCCACACCTTTAACCTTCCCTTGTCCCGTTTTGCAGATGCTGGCCACTGCTGTTATCCCACAGTGGCAGAAAGATGAGCTGAGAGAAGCTGTTAAAGCACTGAAGAAGGTTATGGATGACCTGGACCGTGCAAGCAAAGCTGACATCCAGAAACGAGTGAGCCCTGGCTGAGGGTAAAAGACAGCATGGGAGGGCTGCTGGGGAGCTCCAGTTTTGCACACTGCAGAAGGGAGCTGAGCTGTGGCTCCTTCTGTGCTTTGTTCCTTGCAAGATGGGATGCTTCTGAAGCTGGGTGCAGGGTAAGGCTGGTGTCTGGGTCTTCCTTTGGATCCCATTGGATTTTTCTGGAAGAGGAACCAGGCACATCACTGTTGCTGCCTTGCAGAATGCATACCCTCCTCTGAGTGTGTGGTTGGCTTTTTTTTCCTAGCACTGCAGTGTGGGACTGCCTGAGGCTGGGCTGTGGGTGTGCTGGGACACTTGAGGGGCCTCTGCCTGCAGGGAACTCTGGTCTGGGTGGTTCTTGTATCCATGTGCACTGTTTGTCCTCAGGTACTGGAAAAGACAAAGCAAGTCATTGAGAGTCACCCTAACCAGCCACTAGTCATCATGGAAATGGAAAATGGGGCCTCAGCAAAGGTATGGGAAGGTCTGATTGTGCCTGAAGGGCAACTGGGGGGGCTCTATTTGCTCTTGGAGACAGTGCTGGGTTACAGAGGCATTAGGCCAGCTGCCAGCTCTGAGGAGGACATGAGGAAGAGAGAGAACATGTCTGTAGTGTGCCATGTGTCCCAGCTCCTGGACTAACAAATGGGTTTGCATGGGTGGGTGGGTCTGAACCATTCCCTGAGCTTCCAAACCTGGTCAACTCTTTGAAAGGGCAGAAACAGCAGGACAAGGGGAAATGGTTTGAAGTTGAGGGAGGGCAGATTGAGGTTGGATGTCAGGGGTGGAGTTCTGTACTATGAGAGCGGTGAGGTGCTGGAACAGCTGCCCAGAGAGGCTGTGATGCCCCGTCCATCCCTGGAGGTGTTCAAGGCCAGGTTGGATGGGGCCCTGGGCAGCCTGGGCTGCTGTGAAATGTGGAGGTTGGTGGCCCTGCGTGTGGCAGGGGGTTGGAGCTTCGTGATCCTTGAGGTTCCTTCCAACCCTGGCCATTCTGTGATTCTGTGTGGTGAGAATTTCCTCTATGGAAATGGCATTGGATTCCAGGTGAGACTCGTCCCATGACAACAAAGTGCAGGGCTTAAATGTTGGAACAGCCACGCTGTAATGCCCTATTTCAACTTCCACTTTGGGAGCTTGATCTGGTGCTGTTTCATACTCCTCCATGGCTGTCCCCATCTCTGTGATGCTCTCAGCTGGGCTGGAGTGGTGGAAGGTGAACCACTGTGCCTTGTTCCTCCTGCAGGCCCTGAACGAATCGCTGAAGCTCTTCAAGACTCACTCCCCCCAGACTGCCACCATGCTCTTTGCAGTGGATAACGAAGCGGGCAGGATCACTTGCCTGTGCCAGGTGCCCCAGGTCCGTGTGGGTGCTGCTGTGCCTTTCTCAGTGGCAGAAAGATGAGTCTCATACAGTGCCACCACGTCGCCGTGGTGGATGAGAGCCACAGCTTTGTGGTACCGTGGTGCTGCCGGGGTATGGAGCAGGAGGGGAGAGGGGAGAGCTGGGGCTCAGGAGCTGTGTATGAAAGCATCCCTCCCTGCCACCAGGCTGGAGGTTGAGCTCCTTTTTTCCCTTCTTTTCCTCTCCAGGAGACAGCGCAGAAGGGCCTGAAGGCCAACCAGTGGGTGCAGGAGGTCTCTGCCCTGATGGATGGCAAAGGTGGAGGGAAGGACATCTCAGCACAAGCCACAGGAAAGAACGTGGGCTGCCTACAGGAGGCTCTCCGCCTGGCCACGGACTTTGCCAGGCTGCACCTGGGGGAGCTGAAAAACTGACTGGAACCCCACATCCCCTCTCCTTCCCCCTGCTTTGCTGTATGAGCCCCGCCTCCAATAAATCATAGAATCAATCAGGTCCGAAGGGGCACTAAGCTCATCCAGCCTGGCCATCGGCGCTGCGCTGTGCCTCCCTGGGCGGCTGTGCCACCCCCGACCGCTCTTCCTTCCCCCCCTCGGCCGCTCAACGAACGCAGGCGCTGCGGAGCTGCCCGGGGGGCCGACCGAGGGCGGAGCGGAGCGGCCGGGGCTCCTCCTCCCTCCGCGCCCGCTTCCCCCGCCATGCCGCTGGATCACCGCCGCCTGCACGGCCCGGAGGACTCGCGGCCGCCGGAGCTTTGGGCGGCGCAGCCTCGCGACGGAGGAGGAGAGGAGGACGAGGAGAGCGGAGCGGCGCCGCGGGATCCCTGCGCGCTTCGGCCGCTGTTCGCCCGCGCGGGGCTGCTGAGCCAGGCGGAAGGCTCCGCGTACGTGGAGCTGAGCGGCGGCACGAAGGTGCTGTGCGCCGCCTGGGGACCGCGGGAGGCGGCCGAGCCGGGGGGGGCGGTGGGAGCGGGGCGGCTGCTGTGCGATTTCCGCCGGGCTCCTTTCTGCGCCCGCGGGGCCCGGCCCAGACCCGGGGGGGCGGCGGAGCGGGAGGCGGAGCGGGAAGCGGCGGCGGCGCTGCGGGAGGCGTTGGAGCCGGCGGTGCGGCTCTCCCGGTACCCGCGGGCGAGGCTGGTCGTCAGCGCCTTGCTGCTGCAGGACGGCGGCTCGGCCCTGGCCGCCGCCGTCAGCGCCGCGTCCCTCGCGTTGGCCGACGCGGGGGTGGAGATGTACGATTTGGCCGTGGGCTGCGCGCTGTGCCGCCCGCCGCCCGGCGACCGCGACGGTTCCGCGGCGGGGCCGTGGCTGCTGCAGCCCGGGGAGGCCGAGGAGCGCGGTTCCGCCGCCCGCCTGACGGTGGCGCTGTTGCCCGCCCTCAACCAGGTGTCGGCGGTGCTGGGCGGCGGCCGCGGGGGGGAGCCCGAGGGTTGGGCGGCGGCGCTGCGGCTGGGCGTGGAGGGCTGCCAGCGCCTTTACCCCGTGCTGCGGCACTGCCTGCTGCGCGCCGCGCGGCGCCGGGACGGGGCGTGAGGTGCGGGGCCTCGGGGAGCTCCGGAATACGACCGGGGGGGAAGTGGTGGTGCCGGAGTCCCCCGGGAGCCGCCCTTGGTGCCGCCGGAGACCCCATGAACGGCGCACGGTGACGCTGAGCCCGGTGGGTTTGTTTGAGCCGCTCCTCGCGCTGCCAAAGATGCCCCAGGAGTGCCAGCAGGGACCCCCGGAGCTGCTCTTGATGTCGACGACGACCTCGAGCCACCCCTGATGCAACCAGAGCCCCCCAGAGCCGCTGCTGGTGCCATCGCCGACCCCCTGGAGCCACCCTCGGTGCCATCGGTGACCTCTGGAGCTGCTCTTGGTGTTGCCAGAGACCCCCAAGGCCTTACCTGAGCCACCCCTCGCACCATTGGAGCCCCCCAGGACTGCCATTGAGACCCACCAAGCTGCCCCCGGTGCCATCTGAGAGGCTTACCTGAGACCGACAGAGACCCCCCTGGACTGCTTTCAATGCCACCACAGACCCCCAGAGCTGCCCCTGCTGCCAGCAGAGACCCTTGGGGCCTCCTCAAACCACCCTCAGTACCAGCAGAGACCCCAGACCCAACCTGGTGCTGCCAGAGACACCATGACATCCTCCCCCCACCACATCCCAGCACCTCGTGCCTCGTTGACTGCTGCCTATGGCACCCCAGGGCAGGAGGACAGGTTGTGTTGTGTTGTTTTGGGTTTGTACAATAAAATTGTTCTGTTTTGTTTTTTTCCTGGTGAGTTCTGCCTGCTGACATCCCCACAAAGCTCCGGGGTGGAGCTGGGGGCTGACCCTGCTGTGCCCCCATTCAAACATCAGCACTGGGGATACACCTGAAGCCGAATAACCAGAGGAAAGAAATACAAATGGTTGTTTTTTTTCCTTTCCAGCACAATACACTCTTTCGCCGGAGCAAATGAGAAATACAGAACAACTTCCTACCAGTAAGAGGAGGACGACCTCAAAACGGGGGGCACAGACATGTAGGGAGAGGGATGGAGGCACAAATTCCCCAGGCAGAGGTGGCCGGGGGGGGATCCCCGCTATGGTGGCAAAGAATGGGAGTCCTTAGGGACACCGTTAAGAGAAACCCACTGGTGACGGGGGGCTGGGCTCCATGCCACACCACCGGGTGCCCCGTGCTGCTGGTATCGGTGTGGCCATCTGTGTCCTCACCGCTGCCAAGGAGGCTTTGTTGTGCATGGGGAGCTCATCTGGCCTGTGTTGTGCTCAGGGGATGGAGGGCTTGGGTGTGAACCCTGGGTCAGTGGGATGCTTTACCCACTGGGGAGGTGAGGATCGGGGACACCACAGATCTCAGCTCCGGGCTAACGATCCTTCAGGGTGTGGAGCTTCTGCCCTCCCACTCTCCACTCTCTCTCTTTACATAGCAAAACAAGAGGGATAAAAAAAAAAACAACGGGCACTCAAACACAAAGACTTCTCTCACCACGGCTGGCCAACGCAGGGCACGGGGCTGCTGGCACTGGTGGTGGGAATATGAGTGCAGGAAGAACTGGGCACCAGCCTGGCAGCTGCCTGGAGCCTCCAAAGGGATGCAGAGATGGGGCAGGAGCTGCGGGGCTCCGGCATCCCCACTACTGGCTCCCCTCGTGGTCCGAGGTGTGGGCCTTCATCTGCAAAGGGAAATCCTGGGCTGCACCCAGAGCCTGATCCCTGCAAAGCCCTGGCAGCAGCCGGCCATCGCCTTACCATCATCTCCTCCGTGTCTGTGCTCTCCTCAGTGCTGTCCGTGTTGCGCCCATCCCCTCCGCTGCCCTCCTTGCCCCGTGAGCCCGCGCCCAGCGGGGGTGATGCCGAGCCCACCTCTGCCTTCTTCTTCTCACTCTCCTTGCACCCTGCAGGGACAGTAGGGGCTCAGGGTGCCCATGCAGAACACGCAGAGCAGATGAGGGAATGGGGAATGTCTCCGTGGGGTTTGGACGTGCCGTGCATGGCAGCATCCCTCACCCGAGAGCCGCTCCCTGCGCTGGTCCATGCGCTCCAGGCTCTCCAGCAGGCTGTCCACCCGCTCCTTGATCTGGCTCAGCTCCCCCTTGATGGAATGCAGCTCCTCGGCTCTCACTGTAGGAGCGGAGCCCTCAGCATCCCATGGGATCAGCACCCAGCACCCTGCAGGTACCTGGGGCCACCACGTCCCACTCACGTTTCGTCCGTGTCCCCGTGGAGCTGGCGCTGCTTCGCGCCCCGTGCTGGGGGCTGGGGCTGCTTGTGCCTCCTGCTCTTGTGTGCGTTCTCCTGGCCTTGATGGGGATGCGGTTAATGAGGGGTGGGATCTTCTGGTACTCATACACCCTGCAGGGGCACAAAAACTCGCTCTAAGGGGGCTCCTCAGGGGCGGAAGTGGGGGACGGGGATACCAGGACCCTCGTGTCATTGCCCCGCACTCACCGGTATGGGAAGTCATCCCTGTAGAGGTTGTAGTCCAGGTCGCAGGTGCTGCTGCAGGAGGGGATGGAGGACAACAAGTCAGCACGTGCAGCACTGCGGGGCAGGGACACCTTCCTGCCACACGTCCCCATCCCTGCAGAAGGCTCTGAGATGAGGGTTTGTGTTTGGAGCACGGTCACCGCCTCGCCATGTGCTGCTGCTGCTTGGCAGCGCGACCCAGAGCTGCTCCACAGAGCGTCCCATGGGATGGGCAATGGCTGCTGCATTCTGGTGGCCACTGGGACCATGGTCCCTGCCCTGCCAGCACCGCATCCCTGCACGGCCCCAGTGCCATGGCAACGGGCAGAGCAATTAATTCCATCCAGAAGCTCTCTAACGAGACGGAGCCCGGCGCTGACTCTGGGTCATAGAATCACACAATCGTGAAGGTTGGAGAAGATCACTAAAATCCCCAGGGGCGACCCCAGCCCGCCCCCACCGTGCCCACTGCCCACGTCCCTCAGTGCCACATCCCCTCAGCTCTGGGACACCCCCAGGGACGGGGGCTCCCCCACCTCCCTGGGCAGCTTTGCCAGCGTTCATTCCAAGAAGGAATTGTTCCCAATGCCCAACCTGAACCTCTCCCCCTGGCACAATTGAAGCCATCACCTCTTGGCCACGTGCCATACGTGCAGTACCCAGCACGAACAGGGGACCCCCAAGAGCCAGGGATGGGGAGCTGCCCCAGGGGTGGGACCTGCTCCAGGGATGGGGACCCGTCCTGCTGCTGCTGGTGGCTCCATCCCTATGTGGTGCTGTAGGGGTGCCGTGCCCTCAGGCTGTCCGCTAAGGTACCTCATTGTAAAAACCATGGAGCTCTTCTTACGGGTAGAAGAATCATGGAATCATAGAAGAAGCCTCCAAACCCTTCAGTGAGGTGGGTTTGGGGCTCAGACGGGACCCCCCAGGAGCTGCTCACGGGGACCCACAGATGCACAAGTTGCCCATGCACTGGCACTCACGGGTACAGGCTGCTGCTGTACGGCCTCTTTTGGCCCAACCTGACCCGGCTCGGCTTTGCCTCCCTGGCCATGTCCAGATCTGCAGGGAGAAAGAGCAGGGCCGTGAGCGATGGAAAAACCCAAACTCACCCCCTCGAGCCCCAGCAGATGGCTCCTGTCCTTGCTGAAGGAGCTCCAGCCCACAGGTGCTCCAGATGTGCTTTGCTGCTCCCAGAAATGGGTGTCTTTCTGCAAACTGCCCGCTGCTCTCTTCCCATCATCGTCACCGTGCCCATGGTGGCTTGTCCCAACCAACCTTACCATGCCTGCCTGTCCCGTGGGTGTCCCAACTATCATCACCCTGCCCAGTTTTCCACAGGTGTCCCAACCATGCCTGGATGTCCCACAGATGATTCCTTCTGCTTGCAGATGGCTCCCATAGGGCTTGCTGCACTGCTTGCTTTCCAGTGTGCCCCCACCTGCCCCACGTCCCCAGCATCCCCCAGCAGCTCAATGCCTGTCATGCAGCCACATGAGGGCATCGCAAAGGGAGCTTGTAGACACTTGCTCTCATGTGACACAGCAGTGGGACCATCCTCGGGGGCAGAAGACCAGGGTCAGCTGGGCTCCACTACCCCTAGGACACCAGCCCCGTGCTGGGGCTCCTGGTATCTCAGTACTGGAGGGGACATCCATGTCCTGGGAGCATCCTGGTGCTGGGAGGATGTCCCTGTACTGGGTGATAACGGTGATGTCCCAGTAGCAGAGGATATCCCTGTTTTGGGGAGCAATGGGCACAGGGGAGCATCCCAGAGCTGGAGGACATCCCTGTCCTGGGGTTGATGGTGTGGGGACATCCCAGTGCTGGAGAGCATCCCCATCCAGGGGAGGGACGGGAGGTGGGGAGCAGGACACAGAAAGCATCTGAGCACTGGGACGAATGGACATCCCGAACCTGGAGGAAATCTGTCTGCTGGGGAGGAACAGATAGCAGGGAAGCACCTCCGTAGGGGAGGACATCTGTGGTTTGGGGGTTGGTGGGGACATCCCGGTACCCTGCCCTGCGGAGGACAACACGAGAGCATCCCGGTACAGGAGGACAGCCCAGCTGTGGATGCCCATTTCCCACATCCCCATCTCGGTGCCCGCGCTCCCATCCCCGTACTCACACCTCCACCCGTCCCGACCGCTCAGAGCGCTCATGGCTCCGTCCTCAGCCCCGGTCCCGGCCCGAGCGGCCCCGACCCGAGCGCACCTCCCCGGGCCGTACCACGCGGCCGCCGATCCGACAGGGGGAACGGCCCGAACCACCGCGCCGCCGGGGGGAGCGAGCGGCCCCAGCGATGCGTGCGTTCGGGGTGCGCGGGGGCAGCCCCGTGCCTCGGTTTCCCAAGCAGGGAAAGCTCAGAGTGTCCGGATCTGCGGGAGGAAAAATTCCTCCTGAATTCATCTATTGGAGCTGGAGGTCTCAGGATCCAGGTGGTGAAGGACCCAGGTGGGAGAAAAGAAAAGAGGACGAGTGGCTCTTCCAAACGGAGAGAGGGCTTTATTATCCCGGCCACGAGGAAGCTGCAGTGCCCAGCCCTCACCCCGAGCCGTGCCGAGGTCTGTGTCACCCAGAAGTCCCCTTGGCAGCTCACCTGGACGCCCCCAGGCTGGGCATCTCCCCGTCCCATCAGCTGTCACAGGTGGTGACAGAGGAAGGCAAGGAGCAGCTTTGGGATGCTGACACACAGCGCACGCCCTTCTCTGCCGGTCCCGGCGCCACATCTGTCCCACAGCCTGGAGTTACCTGCTCAGGGGGCCCGCTGCCATCGGGAGATGTGCTCCTGGGCTGCATGGGAAGCAGAGTCAGGGTACTCGTGGGCCTGCATGCTGTGCACATGGGGGACCCGAGGGCTGTGGCCACGCGCTCACCGAACTGGCAGATGTAGCGGTTTCGGGTCTTGCAGCGCTGGTCGTTCCAGTTGAAAGCAGCTGCTGCCTGCATCTCCACGCAGTTCCCAAATCTGTGTGGGAGAGGAGGGGGGCATGGCGGTGCCACAGAGGTTATCACGTCTCCCGTGGGAGATGGGCACCTACCCCTGGTTGTCTGGCTGCCCAAAAGCAAAGCTGGTGAAGGCAGAAGGATCTCCCGTGTCCCAGCGGAACGAAGCCTTGGATGTCTTGTAGGTGAGACCTGGAGAGCCAGAGGGGTGAGGTGTCCATTAGTGGGGTGGGATGTGCATCAGAAGGGTTGGATATTCATCACGGGGGGTGGGATGTCCACCGGGAGGTTGAGATGACCAAGAGAAGAGTGGGATGTTTGTTAGAGAGATGGGATGTCCTCTAGGGCAGTGTAATTTCCATTCAGGGTGTGGGATGTCCACCAGCACCCTGACACTGCACCACCCCTCAGCAGCACACAGGACTCACCAATCCAGAAGTTACAGGTGTCAAAGTCGTTGTCCATCACCCTGTTGCTGCTCTCCAGGCGGCTGAGGTAGAAGGCCAGGATATCCTGCACCTTCTGGTTCCTGATCTGAGCCAGCATAGCCCCTTTCTCCTAGAGGGAAGCCAAGGAGTCAGCAAGCAGCTCAAATCTCTCTTCTGCTCTCCAGCTGAAACCCCTGGACTCAGCTATGGGGTTTCAGGTGCTCTGGGAGGGCCCAGCTCACCTGGCACTTGGCTTTGGCCCCATAGTACGTGTCAGCCTCGGGGGAAATGGTGAAGCAGTCACCGTCAATCCTCACATCGCAGGCATGGAAAGGGAATGGGACCCTGGCTGCGGGCACAGGGGGGCACAGGTGGGTGCTGGGGCAAAGGGACCCCCCGGCGGGCACAGCCCCCACTCACTGCCGCACTCAGCACCGCCATAGCCAGCATCACAGAGGCAGGAGCACTCCTCCTGCCGGAACTTCCCGTGGAGGCACCGCACGCTGCACCGCACTGCCAAAGAAGCAGGGAATTAGGCTGTGCAGGGCAGCCAGCCCTGAAGCCGTGCCCCTTCCCACAGCACCACACTGAGCAGCCCAGCCGTGCACATGCACCATGCACAAAGCAGGCAAATGCAAGCGCTGCACTGACCATGCACACACTGGCCAATATTGCTCGCAAATGCACAGCACCAGCCACGCACATGCGTGCACTGCAGTGACCAATCTCACGCAGCACCAACTCTGCTCTTGCATGCACAGCGGCAACCACTCATGGGCATGCACTGCACTGACTCTGCACATGCATGGGCTGCACCAAGCATGCATGCACTGCATTGAGCTTGCACATGGATGCTCCACACCGTGCATGGATGGACAGCATCGATCATGCACAGACGTGCATCACTCACTCCTATGCACTGCACTCACCCCACACACACAGTGATCTGGCTTGGGTGGCTACTCAGGCCCTGCACTGCCTGCATCCAGCTTGTTCTTTGTCCTCTGTGGGCACCGTGGGCACCGCTCACCTTGGCAGAAACGCCCGGTGTAGCCGAGGGCACAGGCACACTGGCAGCTGCTGACGTTGAGGTGTGCACCGTTCCTGCAGCTCATGCGACACGGGTTCCTGGGGACCTCTGGGCAAACACATGGGGGGGCACACGGCCATCAGGGGGCTGTAGGGCTGGGCCGAGGGGTTGAGGGTTGCAGGGACTCACCGCAGAGCCCACCGCCGTGGTCCCACGACTTGAAGCAGCCTGAAAGGCCGGCGGTGCACAGCGAGCACCAGGGCCCATGCTGGTAGGGGACGATGGGGGCTCCGGCCAGTTCCCAGTTCCCTCTGCCAAGGGAAGGAGATGGGAGGCACCCCCAGCTCAATGCCCGCAGTGGGGTGGGCACGTCTACTCAGCATAAGCCCCGCCCCTTCTGGGCAGTAGACCCCGCCCTTTCTGCTGAGCTCCACCCACCCGGTGGAGCCCCGCCCACTCGTGACACGAACCCACGCCCATTGGCCGAACCCACGCGCTCATAGCACAAAGCCACGCCCACTCATCGCAACCCCCCCCGCCCACTCGGCATAAAGCCACGGCCATTGGCTGAGCCCCCGTCCACTCGTAGCACAAAGCCACGCCCCCTCCAGTCGGCCACGCCCCCTTACCCAGGTGAGTAGGCGCAGGCAAAGGCCTGGCTGCGGCCCCGGCTCCCGGCACACAGCTGCCTGCCGCAGCCCAGCCGCCGTGCAGTGGCCCACACCAGCTACGGGACAGCGCACCATCACCCTCCGCCACCTCCTGCCCCCCTCCTGCTCCCCCCGGTCCCCATCCCACCTGGGTGTAATGGCGGCAGGTGGCATTACCAGCACAGCGTGCCGCTCCATAGTCGTAGCGTCGGCCCTCGGCGAACCAGCGCTCCAGCAGCTCGGCGAAGCCCCCGGCACCCACCGGCAGCAAGGCCTCGCTCCAGCCAAGCTGTGGGGCTGGAGGAGGAGTGGGGCCCTCCAGGCAGCCTGCCACCCGTTCTACCGCCAGCTGTGCCAGCTCCTCGCTCCACTCCTGCTGGGACACCGGGCTGGGGGCACTGGTGGGCAACGGGAGATCGTGGAGGCACCCAGGGGATGCCTGAGGACTCCAGGAGTTGAGTAGGGGCCACCAAGGGATGTTGGGTGACCAGGAGATGTTTGGGAACATCTGTAGTCCCCCACCTGGGACTACTATAATAGATGAGCAGGGAATGTTGGGTGACCACCAGAGTCATTGGCAGATGACTGGGGACCACTTGGATGTACCTGGAGACCAGGGGATGACTGGGGATCACAAGGAGATGATTGAGAACCACCAGGAGATGTTTGGGGACCGTCAGGACACGGTTGACCACCAGGAGACCACAAGAAGATGATTTGGGACAACTGACAGTTGACTGAGGACCACTAGGACATGACTGAGCACTAGAGAATGAGTGGGGACTACCAGGGAATGACTGGGGACCACAAGGAGATGACTGGGAACCACCAGGAAGAACATTGGGCAATCATCAGGAGATAACTGTGGACCACTGGGACGTCTGACCATCAGGGGGACAAATGGGGACCACAAAAAGACGACTGGGGACAATTGAAAGTTGACTGGGGACCACAAGGACAGGACTAGTGGTCATCCTGGACTAGTGGTTGGTGAACCTTCCCCTGGAAGGGGGTTGAAAATAGGTGATCTTTGAGGTCCTTTTCAACCCAGGCCATTCTATGGTTCTGTGGTTCTATGGTTCTATGGTTCTATGGTGCTATGGTGCTATGGTTCTATGGTTCTGTGGTTCTGTGGTTCTGTGGTTCTGTGGTTCTGTGGTTCTGTGGTTCTGTGGTTCTGTGGTTCTGTGGTTCTGTGGTTCTATGGTTCTGTGGTTCTATGGTTCTGTGGTTCTGTGGTTCTGTGGTTCTGTGGTTCTATGGTTCTGTGGTTCTATGGTTCTGTGGTTCTGTGGTTCTGTGGTTCTATGGTTCTGTGGTTCTGTGGTTCTATGGTTCTGTGGTTCTGTGGTTCTGTGGTTCTGTGCTTCTGTGGTTCTATGGTGCTATGGTTCTATGGTGCTATGGTTCTGTGGTTCTATGGTTCTGTGGTTCTATGGTTCTATGGCTCTGTGGTTCTGTGGTTCTGTGGCTCTGTGGTTCTATGGTGCTATGGTGCTATGGTTCTGTGGTTCTGTGGTTCTGTGGTTCTATGGTTCTATGGTTCTGTGGTTCTGTGGTTCTGTGGTTCTGTGGTTCTATGGTGCTATGGTTCTGTGGTTCTGTGGTGCTATGGTTCTATGGTGCTATGGTTCTATGGTTCTGTGGTTCTATGGTTCTATGGTTCTGTGGTTCTGTGGTTCTATGGTTCTGTGGTTCTATGGTTCTGTGGTTCTGTGGTTCTATGGTTCTGTGGTGCTATGGTTCTATGGTTCTGTGGTTCTATGGTTCTGTGGTTCTGTGGTTCTGTGGTTCTGTGGTTCTATGGTTCTATGGTTCTGTGGTTCTGTGGTTCTGTGGTTCTATGGTTCTATGATTGACCACCAGAGAATTAAGGGGAAGCACCAAGAGATGGCTGAGGACCACCAGGGAGGATGTTGGGAAACCATCAGGAGATGGCTGGAATCAGCTGGGAGGTGCCTGGGGACCAACAGCGAATGGTTGGGGACCACGAGGAGATGGTTGGGGAATGCAGGGTAACCATCAGGAGATGACTGTGGTCCACCAGGGAATGTCGGGCAAGCGATAGATGATTGAGGACAACCAGGAGATGACTGGTGACCATCAACAGATATAGGGTAAGCATTGGGACCTCAGAGAATCAGTCCTTGGTGCATGCTGGGTCTGGCAGAGGCAGGGCTGGGGCACTCACCAACTTCTGCATGTTGGCCGCAGGCGGATGCACTTTGCTCCTCAGCTTGTTGTGCAGCGAGAGTACCAGGAATGTCTCCTTCTCACTGAGAGCTGCAGAGGGCAAAGGGCAGCTGGGGATGGGGCCGAACGGGTTGCCGGTCCCATGCGGCAGCCTGGGTTATGGGAAGGCACCCGGGTCTCCATGGAGACCAGAGGGGAGTGAAGGAAGCACAGGAGCACAAAGGGGGCAGGGGCTGGGGGGTAGCAGAGACTGCCAGGAATGCACCCGATCCTCGGGTGGGAGGGGGGGGGGGTCCGGCACAGCACTGCCTTCATCGTGCTGCACTTGTCACCAGCCCAGAGCCCATCCCCAGCCCCATATCCCCAGCCCCACATCCCAATCTCCAGCCCCACAACCTCATCACCACCCCAGCCCCCTGCCTGTTTAGGTACGGGGCAGGGGAACATCCACCCCATCCTTTTGGGAACAACGCTCAGGGCTCCCGAGCTGCTCTTTGCCCCGATGTGAGCAGAAAGCCCCCCCCACCCCCTCTTTCCATTACCTCTGGGTCCTGGAGCCAGTGGGGACAGCTTCTCCGACTCACTCACCCTCCAGGCCAGGCAAGCCAGCAGCACCAGCAGCAGGCCAGCCAGACCCCTGCTGTCCTCCATGCTCACCAACGGGAGGACTGGGGAGGGAAGGGAGGATTTGGGGAGGGACGAGCCAGTCCTGCGTGCCTGCGTGTCTGCTTCCAAGATTTGATCCTATTCAGGACTTCAGACAGGCGCTGCTGGTCAGCTTGAACAAAAGGTTGACGGGTGAGTAATAGCTCTGTCAAAACAGTCCAGGCGGTGGAGACAGCTCGGGGGGCCCCTCGGTCCCAGCCCCGCTACCGCAATGGGGTTGGGATCGCAGGCACTGGGCATCGCCCCCCAGCCCCACTGCCTGTTTTCCTCCTGCTCCATGAATTAAACATGCTGGGGAGGTAATGCACACTGCTGGGGAGGGAGCTGTGGGCACAAGGCCAAATTCCCGCTCCAGTGAGCTGGGCAACGCGGATATGGGGTGGGCGACGGTGGGAGGGATGCTCGGGGTTGGGCAGGGGGCCCAGCACCCCCTCTGTTTGAGTGCTCTGTCCCAGCTCGGGGGGCCCTTGGCACAGTGCAATGTGAGAGTCCCAAAATGAAAGGTTAGCGTAGCCCATGGGTTTCCTGCAGAGCCTCCGGCATCCCCACCAGCTGTGCCCTTTGGGATGGGGAGGGATCCGAGCCCCCCCTGCAGCCCAGCCCACGTCCCTTCTGTATGCCTTCCTGCAATGAGGGGCAACGCTGGAGCCTCCCATGCAAGGAAGTCTGGGATCCTCCCTCACCCTAACCCTAACCTTAACACTATCCCTGACCCTAATGTTATCCCTCACCCTAACACTGATGCTGATCCTGAGCCTAACCCAACCCCAGGCTGCAATGCAGCCCAGCTACCCCCCATCCAGTGCAGACCCCAAAGCCACCTCTGGTCCGGGAGCCCTCCCCATGCTTGGAAGATGCTCTGGATCAGCCCCATGCACACACGCAGTGTGCCACGTGCACTGAGCACTGGTGAGGCTGTGAGCATGGTGACAGCCACCGCCTGGTCCCAGCCATCCCATGTGAGCAGCGGCACGCCGCAGCCGCAGGGAAAGCCAGCATCTGCTGCCCGTGTGACAGAAAAGGCCCCAAACCTTCTGATCTGTGGAGCGGGAAGGGAGAGGCCGGTGCTGGTGCCAAGGGGAAACTTTCCTATGGCTTGGGCAGGGGAAAAAACAACAAACACTCAGGCATGCAGGCACACACAGAGAATAAATCCTGTGAGCGGAGGAGCAGGCTGCGAGCGAGTGACTGAAGGAGGTTGAGCAGGGCTGGGAGTTTGGGGAACATCCCGGAGCCCCCGAAATCCAGCAGGTCTGTGGGTAAGGGTGGCTGTGGGGTGATGCCACACGGTGGTCACAGTGCCATGTCACTGCATGGCGGGCTGTGGGACAGTGGTGGGGGTCTCTGGGTGATGTGGCTGCAAGAGCTCAGGGTGAGGAAGGGAACACCACCTTGATTCTGCTCTGATGGGGCTGTGGTGTGGGGCAGGATGGAATATTGCTGTCTCGTCCTTGCAGCCGGCCGTGCCGCGATGCTCATCCTGCTGCCAGGCTGGGTGGCCCTGTGCATCCTGCAGCTAGCCCTCAGCAGAACCCAGGTAAGGACCCTGCTCCCGAGGTGGGCATGTTAGGGCTGCCCATGGACAAAAGGTGGTCTGGGGGCTTTTCTGTATCAGGGAGGGTGCTGGAGCCACCTGGAGGGCTTCAGGCACCACAGGTGCTGATATAGCAGCAGGCAGAGGGGCTGAAGTTGGCACAGATGCATAAGCAAAGGCAGACCCTGCAGTGGGATACAGAGGATGAGCCCAGAGCAGCCCAGCTGTCCCCAGCTGGCATGGGAGGGGACACAGCCCAGCCCAGCGGGTGATGGGGAGGGCCCTGTGTTCCCCTAGGAGTGCCTGAGCCACCAGCAGGTGCTCAGCACCGTGCGGCAGATGCAGAAGCTGCTGTCGGCACAGGAGGCTGCCCACCTCCAGGGCACGCGCAGCCTCAAGAAGCAGCTCTCAGTGCTGCACAGCCGCATCCAGAGGCTCGCTGGCAAACGTAACGGTAACGCTCGGCATCCCCATCACACCAGCTCCGACCCAGGGATAGGGCTGGGCTCCCGTCCTCAGCCGTGTCCATCTGTCCATCCGCAGACACCTGTCCGCACCTGGCGGTGCCCTTGAACGGGCGGAAGCTGGGCCGCAGCGCACGGGTGGGCCACGACGTTCACTTCATCTGCAATGCTGGATTTCAGCTGGTGGGCTCGGAGTCGCGCACCTGCCGGAGGGACCGCACCTGGAGCGGCACCCAGCCCTTCTGCAGAAGTGAAGTGCCGTGGGCTTGGGGTCGTGGGATTGCAGGGGAGTGATCTTGCATCCCAGCAGGGCTGGGAGAGGCAGGAATTGGCTTTCCCTGCCCCTGGTCTCATGGTATTTATGAGCTCTTTCTCCGCAGGTATTGATGAGTGTTCCAGCAACCCGTGTGCCAACGGTGGAATCTGCGTGGATGGCAACCAGAGCTACACGTGCCTGTGCCCACGGGGCTGGTCAGGAGCCAGTTGCCAGAGCCCTGTCTATGCCTGTAGGTGCCCTCAAAGCCATCCCCAGCTCAGCAGAGGCTCAGATTTGAGCTGGGGTGCCTTATGCATCCCTGGAGCGGTGGAGGATGGAATGCTTGCAGGGCCACGCTGCGACCATCTCATCCTTCCCCACTGGTGACACCACATCCTTCCTGCAGACTGGGTGACGCTGAGCAACTCGTCCTTCAGCCGTCAGCCCCGCTGTGCTGAGGGCCGCCCGGGCTCGCGGCACTGCAGCTGTGATGCCGGCTTCCAGATGCGGGCAGGAGGTGTTTGCCAAGGTACAAAGTGTGAGGAGGGATGAGGCGTGATAGGATGGGGCGCCTCAGCCTCCATCCATCCCCACCCACAGATGTGGACGAGTGCCAGCTTTTCCAGCCTAACCCCCAGACCCGGATCTGCCTCCACGACTGCCTCAACCTCCCCGGCTCCTACCGCTGCCTCTGCCCACCGGGGTACGTGCTCCATGCCGACCGCAACACCTGTGAGGGTAAGAGGAGGGATGCCGAGCACCTACATGGCTGAGAGGATGGACAGCCTCATTCACCCCCTTTTTGCCACTGCAGATGTGGATGAGTGCACTGGCAGCCGGCACAACTGCACCCACGGTGAGCTCTGCATCAACACCTTCGGGGGCCACCGCTGCGTGCGCCCCAAGTGCCCCCCACCACGCCACAACACCAGCTATGTCAAGACCTCCAGCTTGTGAGTATCGGGCCATCATCTCAGGGAGGGGACGGGCCCTACCTGTGCTATATCACAGCATCCGAGGGCAGCAAGGAGAGTCCTGGCAGCAAATTGTCACACATAGCGTGCTTGGCATGCTGCAGGATGCCCCTTGCCAAAGGGTTTGGGACGCTGGTGGCTGCGGGAGCGGGCGGGAGCACCCAAATACAAGGGAGCTTTATGCAGGCGCTGCATAGTGCTCAGGGCTGCAGCCAGAGCAAAGCACCTCTATCCGGGAGCCATGCTCCAGGCCGGCTTTGCTAGAGCTTTAATCAAATGTCAACAGCACTGATGCCCAGGACCTGGGGGGGAACGACGCCATTTCCCCTCCTCTGTACATTTATGTGGTGCCTTTGGCTACAATTCAACATGCAACTCCCCCCCCCCAGTGCTGCTTGTGAGACTGAACTGCTTTGTGCACCGCTGGCTCGTTCTTCCTGTCCTGGCACAGCTCTTGCAGCAACCCAAGCAGAGCAGCATCCCAGCTCTGAGCTGCAGATCTGCATCCAGATCCCGCACCCAGCCCAGGGACACCTCTCCAAGCCTGGGCATGCTTGGATGTAGCCTTCTTGGGCTGCTCCATCACAGAACATGAGGCTGGAGATGCAGAGCGTGGTCGGTGGTCTCCATAAGCTTGTTTGCAAGCAGGCAGTCTGTTCCCCAAGAGCCAAGTAACACAGTGGGTCCAGGAGAACCTCATGAGGTTCAACAAAGCTATGTGCAAGGTCTTGTACCTGGGTTGTGGCTATCAGTACAAGCCAGAGGTCAAGAGGACAGAGCATAGGGGTACTGGTGGGTGGCAGTTGTACATGAGGCAGCAATGTACAACCCTCACAGCCCTGAACTGCATCCAAAGCAGCACAGCCAGCAGGGCAGGGAGGGGATCTGCCCCTCTGCTCTGTGCTAGGCTGCCCAGAGAGGCGGGGGTGTCCCATCTCTGCAGACTGCCAAGGTTAGGCTGCATGGGGCTCTGAGCACTGATGGAGCTGTGGGTGTCCCTGCTCATTGCAAGGAGTGGGACCAGATGGCCTTTAAGGTCCTTTCCAACTCAAACAATTCTATGATTCTATGAGTGCTGGTTTCCCTTGTCTCCTGGCAGCCAGTGTGAGAGGAACCCCTGCCCCACAGACAGCCGTGCCTGCCGCCTCGCCGCCACCTCCATCTCCTTCCACTACCTGCCACTCCAGGCCAACCGCACCGTGCCCCGCGTCCTCTTCAAGATGTCCACCACCCGCTTTGTGGGTGACAGCCTGCGCTTCACCATCATAGGTGGCCGGGGCCAGGGCGTCTTTGCCGTGCGGCGCTCCGACCGGCAGACGGGAGAGCTGGTGCTCAGCAGCCCAGTGGTGGGGCCAGCCACACTGGAAGTGGAGCTGGAGATGAGTGAGTTCTCCCGCAAGGTGCTGCTGGGCAAGCACATCTTCAAGGTCACGGCCTTTGTGTCCCAGTATGAGTTCTGAGATGCGGCTCTGCTGGAGGCAGATGTGGCTCTGTCCTGGGGAGCGGTGGAGTGGGATCAGCGTGGTGATCTCAGCCCTCGTACCATTAGAGGACTCCCGTTCTTGGAATTGGCCTCAGTGGGTCCTTCCAACTCGGGAGCTGCTATGATATCCTAGGATTCCTCCTGCTTGCTCATGGCTGTTAGAGCATAGCAGAAGAACCCCTGCTCATTGCTGATGCTGCCTGGAGGAATCAAGAAGCCGTGCTGAGGGTTACAGCAGGAGGGGACCCATCTGTGCCAGCCTGCTGTGCCTCCTCATGCCTCGTACTCATCCAATAAAAGACAACTGCCTGTAAGGAGGGTGTCTTTGCTCCGTGACAAACATCTTTTGCAGGGCCTGGCCAACACTCAGCCCCATGGGCAGACTGCAGGAACACCAGAAGCATGGAGAGAGCAGCGGGGCTCACAGCTGGGCCGGTGCCAGCAGCTTTCTGTCCCCTCAACCCACCAACACAGGGCAGGCCATGGGGAAGGGAAAGGCCCTGAGCCTCACACAGGGCAAGGAGGGAGGAGAGCCGCTGCGGACAGGCTCCTGAGGCCGCCCCTGCACAAAGCAGCCGCTGTGCGCAGCCCATAAAGCCCTCCTTGTGCCGCGGGCACCGCTCGCCAGCATCTGAGGGCCCGGCAGTGGGGGGAAATCGCCTCACACGGATGGCCGCCCAGCAACCTCCCATGGCGCACGGGAGCGGCGAGCCGCGCTGAGGCGGGAAGCGAACCGGTGGAGAAAGGCGGGAAATGGAACACTGCGGCGAAACGCACCCGACGCTTTTTGTCCTCGCGGCGCGCCGTAGCCCGCCCGTTGCCATGGCGACGGGCCCAGCGGCCTGACCCGCCGCTCTCGCTTCTCTAGGCGAGAAGCTGCGGGGCCGGGCCCGTCCCCGTCCCGGCCGCACGGGGCACGCGGGGCGCCCGGCTCTATCACGCCGCCTGCCTCGGCCTCGGGCCTCGCTGCGTGCGGACTGCACGGGGAGACCTGCGGCCTCCGAGCAGCGCTGACTGAGTAAGCCCGGAGCCGTTCGGCAGCGCGGTGCGCGCCGTGCTTTCGTGAGCGAGAAACGTGCCGGGTTTGCTGACGGGACTCAGCTGGGAGCAGAGCGCTGAGAGGCCCTGCGGAGAGACGCGGGCAGATCAGAGGGTTTAACGGGAGCGGTGCCGAAGGTTAACGAGGGGTTAATGGCTGTGCACTGCGGAGCTGAGGCCGTGGGGCAGCGCCTGGCTGCTGTGTGGGCAGGCGATGGGCTTCGTGGCCACCAGGGTCCTTTCCATTCGGGATGTTCTCTGGTTCTGTAGCAGTAATTTCCAGCCCTTTGCTTGCACTGATGCAAGCAGATCTTGTATCTGAGCCGCCCTGCTTGCTCTGATGGTTGCAGTCAGTGCCTTTTGAGATTTTCTGGCACTGGAACCGTTATCAAAATGACAGCAATGACACGAGACAACGTCAAATTGTGACAGTAACGAGCCAGAGACCTCTGCTCCTTGCCTCTCAGCATGCTCCTGTGCCCAGGGACCCGGAAAAGCCCAACCCTGCAGTCCCACAGAATGCATAATGGATGCATTTCTTTAGCAAGGCAGGTTCTGTTCAAAGCACAGCCCGGCTCAGTGGCAAGCAGAGAGCTGCAAATAACAGTTCAACACAAACTGAAATAGCATCTGTTTGTCATAGCTGTTGTGCAAACACTCAGACATCAAGAACTTCCCAGGTTATGGTTCATAACTTGTCTTTGCAATCAAATCTTGCTTTCTCATGTTGGCAGCTCAGTAATCTGGCAGCTTGCTGTGTGGGTGCCCTGCATATGTAACTCTGTTTTGTTCTTCTAGCAACAGTTGGCCTTACAGCGGTGTTGTGTGCAATTCCTTTTTCCTCTTTTTGCTCACTTTTTGTTCAGTTTCTAGTCTTTCCACTCTGTTGCTGACAAAGGTGCCTCTGTTTCTGTGTAGTGCTGAAGCTGTGATTCCATCTCATGTGCTCCAGGAGGGCCACCTGCTTTCACTTCACTTCTCCTCACCAGTTGGAAGGAAAGCATGGCATATCTGAGTCAGGTGGCAGCATTTAGGAAGGGGGGGGAACGGCTGTTTGTGAGGGTGGATTGTGATAAGACAAGGGGGAATGGTTTTAAACTGAGATGGGAGGTTTAGGTTGGATATTAGGAGGAAGTTTTTCACCCAGAGGGTGGTGAGGCACTGGAACAGGTTGCCCCATCCCTGCAGGCATTCAAGGCCAGGCTGGATGTGGCTCTGGGCAGCCTGGGCTGCTGGTTGGTGACCTGCACACAGCAGGGGGTTGGAACTGGATCAGCACTGTGCTCCTTTGCAACCCAGGCCATTCTGTGAGTCTATGATTTGTTCTGCCATCGACTGGAACAGCTGTCTGAAATGAAGATGTTCCCAAACAAGAGCATATCGTGCTCTGTCTCTGGGCTGCCCACCTATGCTCCTTTTACTTGATTTTGGCCTAGATCCATTCAAACACTGTCAAAACTTTCTGTGAAGGAAGGAAGTCTCCCTTAGCTGAAAGTTTGGCTTGTTGTTGTTTCATGCAGATATCAACACTTGCTTTTAGAATGTGTAATTATTTTTCCCCTTTTGTTCCTATAGATCCGCTTTGCAGAGAGAAGTCTTCCCTCAAATGCTTGTCCTGGTCTCCAACTTTGTTGGAGATGGAGATGTTGGATCTAGGATCAGGACTCAGTCAGAATTCTTTTATATCAATATTTTCTTTTTTCTTTTTATTTCTACAGATGAACATCTGCGACAAACCTCCTAATAAGACAGCTCCAGAGAACTTGGGTGAAGCTGGTCCTAAGGTCCAACGTGCTCGAAGAAATGGCTGGAGCTGGCCTCTGCACCCTTTCCAGATCATTACCTGGCTGCTGTACCTCTTCTTTGCACTGGTTGGCTTTGGAATTCTGGTTCCTCTTCTGCCCCTCCACTGGCTGCCCGCTGGCTATATCGTATCCTTTGGTCGAGAGCAGAACAGGAGCTGTAATGAATTACCAGTGGGACATTTTAAAACAAGTGGTGAGCATAGGAGAAAACAGCTTAGCCAGAATCTTTTTCTGAGCTGTAGCCGTAATGTTGATTTTCTCCTGTCTCTAAGAAACACTTATTTTGGAACCATTTCTGTTCCTCCAGAGCTTGATAAGATCATTGATAAGAGCTTGATAAGATCATTAACATTCTACCTGTCTCTGTCGTTACTCCCTTTTAAGGCTTTGCCCCCCAAGCTCTTCCATCTACATCTGCTTCTGTCTTTATGTTGTTCTACAAGTGTGCTGCAGGCTTTCAGAGAGGGCATAGGAAAACTAGGGAACTGCTGTTTGCAGTGTGGGGCTGTGTGTCTCCAGGATTGCTGTCAGTCTTACTGTAGTGCAAACCAAGGAGAAAATTTAACATTGTTCTGTAACTGGAAAGAAGAAAATCCTTCAGCAGAAGCCTGCTTTACCATTCATATTTACAGCTTCCTTAGCAGAACCAGGTAATCAAGAAATGTTATAGACAGAATGTTGGGGAGAGTTCTGAAAAGATCTTCCTGATGAATGCACTTATCATTTGTGCATCTGGAATTTGTATGCCCATAGAGCCTTTGATATTATTGGGATTCTGATGCTTTTGCTAATAGTTTTCATTAAACCTGCATGATTCAGTCATCAATAACATTATCAGCTCGCAGTTATTTTTCATCTACCTGTCTTCTTGAAATCCTTGGTATCATCGTGCCTCAAGCTTTGTAAGTTTGTCTGCCTCATATCATCATAACTCAATCTAAAGTCATTCTAACTGATCAAAGCAACATAACTCAGAGCTTTACTGCTAGTACTGTTAGTACTAATGCCTCTTTTTTTTTTCCTTACCACGCTACTGTGTTTTCCATAGACTTTAATAGGATCAATGATGTGCATATCTGGTTGCGTAGCAAATAAGCAGGAAGATTAATCGTTGCATGCATGCCTGTGTATTTCAGTGTATGGAGAAGCAGGCTCTGGTGTGCATTGGTTTACCAGAAATAGAATCATAGAATGGCCTGGGTTGCAAAGGAGCACAGTGCTGATCCAGTTCCAACCCCCTGCTGTGTGCAGGTCACCAGCCAGCAGCCCAGGCTGCCCAGAGCCACATCCAGCCTGGCCTTGAATGCCTGCAGGGATGGGGCATCCACATAACATTGCTGCTTTCTTTGCAAATATTGGCAGTCACTTGAGGTTTGATCAAAAGTACTTCTAAAGCTTATTTGCTCTGCCTCGTGACTGGGGTTTTGTAAAGAAGCATTCAGACAGGTGATGTTTTGAGATATAAGTGACACGTCCTGTCAGTGAATCCTGTAGGACTGTAGTTGATAGGGGTGATCCTCTTCCTTGGGATTCTGAAGGAAGAGGAAAGCAAGGTGTTCAGTGCCAGTTCCTTGATGTGACTTTTTTTCTCTCTTTTTTGAAAGTTTGGTCTATTGAAGGGGCATGTGCATGGCCTTAACTGCCTGTTGCTTTCCAAAGATTCTGTATGGACTGAGAAGCGTGAACCTACGCCGTCAGGCTGCACATAGGGTCAGATTCTGGTAAGTAAAGGTAAACTTTAAAAACTCCTGTGCGAGGGAGGACATTCCCGTGAGGCAGAACAGTACTTTGTGAGGAGTTTTTCCTGTAGATTTAACTATCATTGAGCAGAGGTTGTTAGTTACAGTGAGATAGGTGAAGTTCTCTGTTAATAAAGCTCAGACTAATGTAATCAGTTTTATGGTAATTTATAATCTGTATATTCCCTGTCTCCGTGGGCTTTGTGTATTAAGAATAATACTTATACCCAAATATAAATCACTCCTACAATCCTTAACTGTGTGCTTCAGTGTCCAGGAGTGTGTTTTATCTACCATTTAGTTGTTCATCTTACTGCAGTCTCCATTGATCCTGCGGATGCAAAAGTGCGAGAAAAAAACTATCTAGGGCCTCTGGCCACCTTCAATCGTAATCAGCATGCACATGTCATTGAAAACCATCATTGCCATGTCTGTGATGTAAATGTGTAAGTATCTTCTCTTCTCTTCCTACTAATCTTTTCTTCTTCACCATTGCACTTTGCCATTGGACGCTTCTTTACTGTTAGGCTGTGAGGTTGAAGTCGAGTTCCTGAAGCTCTTAGCTCTGCAGTGCCAGTGAATCCTCATTCCCTGGGTAGGCGTCCACTGTCAAATGTGAGCGTGGTCCTGTGTGTGACTTTATTGCTCTCATGTCGTGTGGAGAGGACTCTGCTGCTCTTTGTTACCTGGACGTTGGTGTTGCATCTGAGAACAGCGTGTAGCTTGGATGTGTGTGCTTGTGTTTGGCTAGATCCTAATGTGGTAGCAGAAATGCCTGGAGGGCAGGTTGTAAGGTGAGGGTCTGCAGAATTGCTTTAGGTTTGAAAACAAGAAAACAATGATCTCCGAACTAGAAATCACACAGTGCATTAAAAAAAGCAAACTTTGCAGTGTTTGGGATCGTGGTCC